TCAAACCTATGATTGCGTTGGATAAAAACCGCAATTTTTATACGTATGCATGCAAAACAAATTTCTTGTTAGAGGGGTCTAAAAACAGCACAAACAACATTTTCCAAAAGACCAAAAAAGTGAAAAAGTATATTTTAACAAAACGCATTTGACTAACAGGTCGAACAACAAATGTTCTTAAACCCTGCCGACTGCCATTGGCGATTGCCAAATAAACGGATCACCAGGTGTAATAAATGGATCTTATTTATAAATTAATACCAAACAGAAAACAATAAACTTGCGGCAAAGATGGTATACCGCAAACAAAAGGTGCAAAGATTTTTGTACACCATATCCGGATTTCGACAATTAATGTCTCTTCAGTGATGTTAGGAATCGAAACGGTATTTGGAAGGCCATATAATTTACCTCAATTTAGGATAGACTCTTGAATTTTGAGGAGTCAAAATAGGATGAACGGATCATATAAACCCGAAGGCAAATATAATACAAGCCCAAACGAAAAAATATAAACAAGCCTAAATTGAAAACAACGTTCAAACCTATGATTGCGTTGGATAAAAACCGCAATTTTTATACGTATGCATGCAAAACAAATTTCTTGTTAGAGGGGTCTAAAAACAGCACAAACAACATTTTCCAAAAGACCAAAAAAGTGAAAAAGTATATTTTAACAAAACGCATTTGACTAACAGGTCGAACAACAAATGTTCTTAAACCCTGCCGACTGCCATTGGCGATTGCCAAATAAACGGATCACCAGGTGTAATAAATGGATCTTATTTATAAATTAATACCAAACAGAAAACAATAAACTTGCGGCAAAGATGGTATACCGCAAACAAAAGGTGCAAAGATTTTTGTACACCATATCCGGATTTCGACAATTAATGTCTCTTCAGTGATGTTAGGAATCGAAACGGTATTTGGAAGGCCATATAATTTACCTCAATTTAGGAAAGACTCTTGAATTTTGAGGAGTCAAAATAGGATGAACGGATCATATAAACCCGAAGGCAAATATAATACAAGCCCAAACGAAAAAATATAAACAAGCCTAAATTGAAAACAACGTTCAAACCTATGATTGCGTTGGATAAAAACCGCAATTTTTATACGTATGCATGCAAAACAAATTTCTTGTTAGAGGGGTCTAAAAACAGCACAAACAACATTTTCCAAAAGACCAAAAAAGTGAAAAAGTATATTTTAACAAAACGCATTTGACTAACAGGTCGAACAACAAATGTTCTTAAACCCTGCCGACTGCCATTGGCGATTGCCAAATAAACGGATCACCAGGTGTAATAAATGGATCTTATTTATAAATTAATACCAAACAGAAAACAATAAACTTGCGGCAAAGATGGTATACCGCAAACAAAAGGTGCAAAGATTTTTGTACACCATATCCGGATTTCGACAATTAATGTCTCTTCAGTGATGTTAGGAATCGAAACGGTATTTGGAAGGCCATATAATTTACCTCAATTTAGGATAGACTCTTGAATTTTGAGGAGTCAAAATAGGATGAACGGATCATATAAACCCGAAGGCAAATATAATACAAGCCCAAACGAAAAAATATAAACAAGCCTAAATTGAAAACAACGTTCAAACCTATGATTGCGTTGGATAAAAACCGCAATTTTTATACGTATGCATGCAAAACAAATTTCTTGTTAGAGGGGTCTAAAAACAGCACAAACAACATTTTCCAAAAGACCAAAAAAGTGAAAAAGTATATTTTAACAAAACGCATTTGACTAACAGGTCGAACAACAAATGTTCTTAAACCCTGCCGACTGCCATTGGCGATTGCCAAATAAACGGATCACCAGGTGTAATAAATGGATCTTATTTATAAATTAATACCAAACAGAAAACAATAAACTTGCGGCAAAGATGGTATACCGCAAACAAAAGGTGCAAAGATTTTTGTACACCATATCCGGATTTCGACAATTAATGTCTCTTCAGTGATGTTAGGAATCGAAACGGTATTTGGAAGGCCATATAATTTACCTCAATTTAGGAAAGACTCTTGAATTTTGAGGAGTCAAAATAGGATGAACGGATCATATAAACCCGAAGGCAAATATAATACAAGCCCAAACGAAAAAATATAAACAAGCCTAAATTGAAAACAACGTTCAAACCTATGATTGCGTTGGATAAAAACCGCAATTTTTATACGTATGCATGCAAAACAAATTTCTTGTTAGAGGGGTCTAAAAACAGCACAAACAACATTTTCCAAAAGACCAAAAAAGTGAAAAAGTATATTTTAACAAAACGCATTTGACTAACAGGTCGAACAACAAATGTTCTTAAACCCTGCCGACTGCCATTGGCGATTGCCAAATAAACGGATCACCAGGTGTAATAAATGGATCTTATTTATAAATTAATACCAAACAGAAAACAATAAACTTGCGGCAAAGATGGTATACCGCAAACAAAAGGTGCAAAGATTTTTGTACACCATATCCGGATTTCGACAATTAATGTCTCTTCAGTGATGTTAGGAATCGAAACGGTATTTGGAAGGCCATATAATTTACCTCAATTTAGGATAGACTCTTGAATTTTGAGGAGTCAAAATAGGATGAACGGATCATATAAACCCGAAGGCAAATATAATACAAGCCCAAACGAAAAAATATAAACAAGCCTAAATTGAAAACAACGTTCAAACCTATGATTGCGTTGGATAAAAACCGCAATTTTTATACGTATGCATGCAAAACAAATTTCTTGTTAGAGGGGTCTAAAAACAGCACAAACAACATTTTCCAAAAGACCAAAAAAGTGAAAAAGTATATTTTAACAAAACGCATTTGACTAACAGGTCGAACAACAAATGTTCTTAAACCCTGCCGACTGCCATTGGCGATTGCCAAATAAACGGATCACCAGGTGTAATAAATAATATACTCAAGTCTAAATTGAAAACAACGTTCAAACCTATGATTGCGTTGGATAAAAACCGCAATTTTTATACGTGTGCATGCAAAACAAATTTCTTGTTAGAGGGGTCTAAATACAGCACAAACAACATTTTCCAAAAGACCAAAAAAGTGAAAAAGTATATTTTAACAAAACGCATTTGACTAACAGGTCGAACAACAAATGTTCTTAAACCCTGCTGACTGCCACTGGCGATTGCCAAATAAACGGATCACCGATGTAATAAATGGATCTTAATTATAAATTTAATACTAAACAGAAAACAATAAACTTGCGGAAAAGATGTTATATATAATATACTAATACTGATTATTTAAACATTTGTAAAAAAAATTATCTGTACGATAATAACCAACCTTTTGTACAAATGACATTGACAAATAACTTTCTTTGAATGACTGATATTTAAGTGCTTTATACGCATATATAATATGTTTTCTTACTAAATTTTAAAAGATTCAAGAAGGAATAGCTAAATATTGTTCATAAATAGCATTCTGCAACAACAAAAATGCAGAACGACTATTCCAAATGAATCATTCTGTTTCTTTACACAGATTTTCAATATCATAAAGGCATCCAAGTCTTCATTTGTGTGTCTTTTTTTGTATTGGGTAGAGGGGTAAATTCAGTAAAAAATCTCCCATTGATTGTAATGCTAATCGATGTCTTGAATTAAATTTATACCTGATTTACCTTTAGAAATTAGAAAATTTCATATATCATTCATGAAAGTACAAATGTAGCCCTATCATTTGCAACAATAAAAACATAGGGTCATGCTGCATTTTTGGGCATTCACATGGCCTTGTTTACAAACACTGTAGATTCGCACTTAATTCCTTCACTGACCCCCATTACTTTTCAACCCTGTAGTAAAAAAATTTAGTACATTCAGCATTTATTTTTTATTTTTTTTCAACTCTAGTTTTTATCCATCTATCAAAAAATATTTATTACAAACATTATCTACCAATCAGAAGAGCACATGACTTTAGTTTTATACAGAAAGCTCTCCCCCAAATGGGCGGTCCCTGATGACGTATATTTATTTACTGAATTTACCCCTAGAACATCCGCAGTAGTAAAATTCATACAGTTTTAACAAATATAGATTAGAGTTATGCCGCTTTGTCTGACGAATATCACTTTAAACAATTTAAACTAGCGAATAAAATGAAAATCACACAATTTATCAATTTTCGTCGCCTCAACCCACCTCAACATATCTTCACACAGTTTTTAAGACTGTAAGAATATGATGCAACATTTATCATGAACGGTGCTTTTCTTTGCGACCTGTACAGGAAAACTTTCAGAATTTAAACCAAACACACTCACATCGGTTAAACAGTTAAATATAATTTTCTATGGGAATGCCCATATAGAGGCTGACTGACATTCGTAATAATCACGCAACACTACTCACTGACAGTAGGACAAATAACTATAATAGAAATAACTGAATCGTGTAAGATATTTTTTACACTGACAGTTAGTATGCTTCAAACTTATTAGGGACTTTTTTTTAAATATTTGAAGGAGTCTTAAAAAATATGAAGATGCTAAAGGAACACTTAAAATCAACAAGCGAAGAATAAAGGACAGTATCGGGGGATTTGTGGTATGGAGTGCTCGCCTCGAGTGTGGAGGTCGTGGGTGCGTTATCGTCTGGATCAAACCAAAGACTTGAAAATTGTTATTTAATTCGTTATCACTAGTTACGCGACGTTTAGGAGTAGGAGCAAATATTGGTCGGTTTGAAGTCAGAATAAATTGTCCAGGTAGGGTTACATGTCTTCTTGCGGATTGTTACTTTGTGAAATAGCACGTTAAAATTGGGCTTATATTGTCAGTCTAGAACAAAGCATGTTTCATATTCATTTCGCATTACAAGTTCTCGTCTTGATATGCATGTAGCCACTGGACGTTAAACACCGACCCATCATCATCATCATGAAGGATAATGATTCCCCGAATTAAGAAAAAAGATGAAAAGACAAACAAACAAATACAAAATAAAAAAGTACATAGAAAACTAAATATTGATCAATACTAAATACATTATATTATATTCATGATAGTTTGGCAGTTCCTGCACCACTTGTGGCACTAATATTGTTGATGATTACATTTTAAAATCCGGTGATAGTTAGTACTAGGTGATACGTCACGAAGAAGGCAAGAGGATATGATTATGCCTCTGATGAGTGGAACATATTCGTGGTCTTCAACCAAATTTTGGTTGCTTCATTCCTTGTCCAGACATTAATTTTTGAAATGTGCATCTGGTGTTATAAAATTGGTACCGTTAATGTTACTCAACCTAACCCGAGGAACAATTATTTCAGTATTTTTCTTGTCATTAACAATCTCATATCAAGTTATAAAAGAATCAACAGGAAACATTGTCTTTTGGCTTCAGACTCTTACGATTATAAATAAGCCCAATATTTAGTTTTGTATCTCGTAAGTCTCTTACTGACTCGGAGGATGGAATGTGAAAGATATGTGCACAAATATATGGAAATAATTCACAGTGAAACTTGTATTTACATGTATGTATTGCGGTATAAGTATCTTGCAAAGCTATTTCATTTAACTTTTAGATATATGGATGCTGTCCTGTCACTCAATAAACCACATTCCAGTGCGGGCTTATATAGTGTTTACCCACGTGAATTTTAGATTAAGGATAATACGAAAACTAGAAGATCTGCTTCATATTTTTATCTTTTCCTAGATAATAACAGATTGGCGACTTCAAACTAGAATCTATGACAAACGTGATGTTTTCAAATTTCCAATTGTCAACTTCCCATTTCTCTACAGTTACATACCATCTGCCCCATCGTAATGGCGTTTACATATCTATATTAATACATTACGCTCGTGCATGTTCACACTTCACTTTGTCTTCTAGTCCTTATTTTGGTTTTCATTTAGCGTTGATAGTTTGTCTTTGAGTAAGTTTGTGTCTTCTGCCTCTCTTTTATGAGGAAAACCGACGCTATGTAAGTAGTACTATCACTACATGTCTGTGTCTCAACGCACTAGCGACATGTGTTCGCGGTCTAAGATCTTAAGATGCCAGAATAGTCGTCTGATCTCGTACCCTATTCCCGATTGATTCGCATGTCGGTCGATGCATGCATATTAGGAGACGTTTCCCTTGTCACCCTTTTTTGAGTTCATGCTATTCCCTCAGTTTTTGTCGTTTTTTTACCTTGATTTATATATATTTATGGATCATCAATATGTGAACATCAATTAACTTCTGTTGCCTCAAATTTATTCACAATATGCATGTAAAAACATATTTTCTTACTTTCATACTATTAAACTCATCCATGTCATTTCAATGTCAATTTGTGTTCTATTTTGATAAAAAAAAAATGTAAAATAAAATATATACATAAGCTACAAGTGCCTTTCCATACACCAATTTACAGAGTGTTCTTATCGACTGAGCTAATTCTAAATTCAAGAAATCTACCAACTCTAAACAACTAATTTATCGGGCATATGTTCTTCTTAATGTCAGGAGTCATTTCAATATAGAATATATTCTTTTTATGTATAAACAATAAAGATAATTCATGCATGTTGTGCTTTAAAATGAAAGGAAAATATATTAAAAAATATACATTCGTTAAAAGATTAATAACCAAGGTTTTGAATCCCAGGCATAGATGATCTTACTCAAATTTGAAACGTCATTTCGGAATTTGGGTTTCCAATGCTTTTTAACTTGGTTATTAACTGGGTTTCAAATAGTAAGTTTCGAGCACCACTATTTATAAAATGTTAAAATCATTCCGAATATTAGAGTGTTCTAGGCGTATTGAGAACAACTTTTCTGAATTTTTTGTTTTTTATGCTCTTCAACTTCGTATTTGATTTGGCCTTCCAACTATTTTATTCGAGCGCTACTGATAATTCTTATGTAGACGAAATTTGCGTCTGGCGTTCCAAATTATTTGCCTGGTAGTTTTGATGAGTTTTGTTTTTTCGACCAAGGAATATATAACCTTAGCAATATTTGGAAAAAAAATTTGGGAATTTGATTTTCAGTGCTCTTCAAATTCGTAACTGATTTGCTTTCAACATGTTTAGAATTGCATGCCACTGTTGTTGACGAAAAGCGCAATCATAAGCCAGGCATCTGAGTCATGAAACTGTACTCAGTACTCGTATGAGTACAAAATTTGTGCTCGAAACTCCAAATTCAGTATTTTGAATGGTTGATTTCTTAGTCTAAGTAAGATAATCGTACTCAAAACTTTTACTACTATGAACATATAGGGTCAGTCTATTGTTGTTTTTTTTATTTTTCTCATAATTATCAGTTTTGGGTTTTCGATTATAAGGCAAGTACTTGACATGTAAGGTCTTCTCGATTTATTTACATTAATTGTATATAAGAGGCAGCAGAAATTACTATTATTGTTAGAAAACAGATCGTTTGAATTTGCCTTACTGCATTTAAAAGCGCTTGTTGCAATTTTACTGTTATACTTTGGCTTGTGCAAATCTAGCTTCGGGCTATGTATATATACGAATTACTGGTATGTTTCTGTGACATAGGCAGCTAGTATAAAAATAAATTGAGTTGAATGCTCTGAAATTTAACCTCAAAACATAATTCTGAATTTATTTCTACAACACTTCTACAAAGTTTGTTCTCGTCGTTTGCTAAATTTAGATGTAAATGCTTACATTTGATGATTTATTTTCTGTGTTTTCATTTTAATTATTCACCAGCAAGTTTCTTGCGATCATATCCCCAATATTTGTATTTTAAAATCTAATATACACTGACCTGTTGTCAGGGTTAAGGAAATACTAAGATCATTGTGCGTCTGGTAAATTCGAAGATCACAATGCAAGGTTAAATTTACCAATAAAAGACATAAAACATAAGAAATTCTAACATATAAACATAGAAAAGGGTACATCAAATTAAATTATCATTATTATTCTTACTATTCAATTATCGATGATCCACTTTGGATATTGTTTTATTAAATCGTCATAGTTATGATCATTTGGAAGACAATTGGACTCCCGTTTCACGCCATATCGCTGGACTGTTACAGCTGATCCTCTTCTGGACTTTTGTATCGGCTCTACGCGTACAGCATTTTTAGAGGAAATAGCTGCATCTTCAGCAAAATAATTATAAGGCAAGAATAAACAACTATTATCCATACCAGGCGATGTTGTGACAGGAAGATCTTCTGTGTGTGGAATGTGATATTGTCCCATTGTAATCCAGGCTACCAAATCCTGAAGACGAAGAAAACACTATGAAGAGCAGCATTTTAGTAAAGAAAGGAAACACAATTTTCAATAAAGGTATTGAAAGGTAAATCGTATGTTCAAACTACAAATTAAATCAAATTAATATGCAAATGAAACTTATATGTGTTCCTCTCTATTTTTTATCTAGACACAGTTTTGTTTCCACCTGGAAAGTTAAAAGACTCTCCGATGCCCCCAGTTTTGTTTGGATTCTGTTTTTTAATTTTTTGTGTAGTATATTTCTTACATTTTGATATATGTGTCGTCGATACATGCATTGTAAAATAAAATATATACTAATGTATAAACACACAGTTTATATAAAGACTTACTTCATCTAAAATAGAATCATTGTTGTCAATGTATTTCTGGAAATCTACTACTGGTTCTTTTATATCTAAAGAACCATAAACAGAAGAACTGGTTCGCTCGGACTCGTTATATTTGGTAACTGCCATTTGGTAACGTGCCCAACTAGCTATTGGTTCATTTCCATATCCTACTGGTAATAACTGATAAGTCATGCCTTTATTTAAAATTCTATAACTTTTAACATTACCATATTTATCCTTAATTTGTTCGTTGTACATAACTAGGTACTTTGGGGCATCGAAATTAAAACGGTAAGCTGCGGCTTTTTCCGTTTCTTTGACAGAAGTTTTAAACTTGAGTTGGATAATTTTTTCATTAGGAACTTCCGAGAACCGGTTTTCAATCTGTTCTGTGTCTATATCCAATGTTGCAAATCTGTTTGATGTACCCTTTATATCTAGATCGGCTTTTATATGAAATAGATGATGATGAATTGGCGCTCCAAAATTATCATGTAGCTTGAATGAATATTTTTCGTCGCCTTTTGTATAGAATAATGCTCTGACATAGCCTGTGCTCGTCACCTTGACTTCTAACGCTCCATTAGGGTAGAAAATGAAATCTATTATATAGTCATAATTGCCAATTGTAGGAATGGTCCTTAAGACAAGAACTACACTTTCCATTCCTTCGTAAAATCTGCCATTACCAAACCAGTAAGAATGATGCCTCCTAAATGACATACCTGTATTCAATTCAAACAGACAAAACGAGGTTGTTAATTCATATGCACTTACACCTCCTACATGGAAACTAGAGCCAATAAGTGTAGCATCTTCGGGACAGTCAACACCCGGAAACAAAACTTTTGATTGCAAGCCTATAAGTGCAATGCTATCCAGAAATTGTGCTAAAATATCATTTGGTTTAAAACCAGAATAAAAAACAGCAATTTCCTGTACACTAAGTTCATAAGCAATACGTTCGTTCTTAAATCGGATATCATACAACTGTGGTCCATGTATTGTAGACATTCGAAAATCAAATTTCCAAAACATGTATTCAACATGACGTCCTTGGACATTGTATCGCTTACCATCAGGCGAAAACTGTTTTGGGTTTCTAAGCGGTGGATCCATTGGAGGAATGCCTCGCTGGTTCAAAGTAGAAAAATCGTCAGAGCTATACACTGGGTAAGCAATTTTGGAAATAGTTTCTTTGTTTTGATTATAAAATGTTAACACTTCAGTGATGTTATTAAATATTGTACTATTGAACCAAATCTTTTCAATAGTAAATACCTTAATATCTATATCAACAAGTACAGAAAAATCTAATGGCCGGTATAGCGAGTACTCTGAAATATGATTTAATGACGCCCACATTTTCCTTTTGTTTTCGCCAGAGAGTATAGGAGATACGGGTACAACATTTCCAAAATGAAGACAGGCATCATTACAATTTGTAAGTCGTGCGCCAAAAATATCAATGAACATAAAACCAAGGTAAGGATCAATGTTTTCTTTTAAAAATTTTAACATTTTTTGATATTCATTTCCGCTAAATGGTGGGCGGTTTATGTATGGGATTTTCTCAGGCCTAAATGGCACGGATCGGTAGTATGTTGGCGTTGGTAGTGGGCCAACTATGATTTCCTGAATATATGGTGGTTGTTCATTTCCTTTGAATATGATAACATGAGCTTCTCTTGGTGGTTTTGGTCCATTCTTATCAAGGTATCTTAAGACATCTTTTTTCTCGGGTAAATATAAATCACTTAAAAAAATAAAATTTTTGTCTACGTCAATGTCTTTCAGGTCTACGAGATTTAATTCTTGTTGGTCGTATAAAAACGCTCGGAGTCCTTCAATTTCATCTTTTGTCAGATGAACAAATACAGAACGTGTATCTGATAGTTCAAGGTTTTTTTTTCCGTATTTTTCACTAGTGGTTGGACATGGTTCAATTTCTAGCTTGTCATATTTGTTGTTCTTTATAACGACAACGGTGAGTGCTATTGCTAACCCAATAGACAACAGTCCGAGTAAAAAAGCTATTATCCGCCATCTCTGTCCTGATATGTTGGTATAACTTGGTCCTACAAAACATATAGAACCAATACTACATTGAAGAATTTCAAATTATAAGAATTAACAAATTTTCGGGATTTTTAACCGCTTTCTATTATCTTCTTTTATTGGCCCCTGCGCGGCGCGTTGCGGGGGACATAGAAATACAGGGCGTTCGTCTGGTCTTGTAAGCGCTCTCACGTGTACAATTCTTGACAGGTTTTTATCAAACTTATATCAGAGGTTTATATCAGCGATGTCTCGGACAACATCGAAAATCAGTGCAGATCAAAATTGATTTTCAAGAATAATGCCCCTTGGGATTATTAATTAATTGGGAAATCGCATTGTAAGCGCAAGGCCTACAAGATATTTATATATATAAGTTTTAAAGGACAAAAATATATCCCTTGGATAGATAAAATATATGCACACGGGGGTACATTGAAATTCTGCTCTTCTATTCATGTGCCAGTGCTTATAGCCAATAATAACTTTATGATCGTTTTACAATTTGCTATTCCCTGTCAGATGAGAGTTAGAGAAAGCATTATGCTAAGTTGTTTCAATATTTTTTGTATAAGATGTTTTTTTATAAAAAATTGTATATTTTTGTGTAAGATTTTTTTTAGAATTTTTTTTATATTTCAATATACAGAAATAAGGATAAGAAAATATGTCAATAAAATGTTATTCTTCACCTTTCATTTCCATATTGACCAGTGATAACCTTTTATAGTGAAAATTCTATGTGTAGGCTGAGTTTACATTCTAAAATAAAAACATATATATGATTATCATTATTCTTATAAAACTGCACAATACAACGTTGAAGTCACAGTGTCAATGTTTGCCAGTCGTCTATTTTTAATGACAGCTGAACAGACTGTAAAGTTGAAGCTTTTCTGCTCACTTATGGGTAGATTCTTTCCGAACTGAAAGCATAGACCTATATACCCTGAAGTACTTTCTCTGTTTTCAATGATATCAAGTAACCTGTTACAACCCGGTGGTAGCTCTGTATAATTCCCATGGAAGTAAAAGTAAGAAGTTACAAAAGAGGTAACTAAGAGTCATAAGTCGAAGGACAGACAGCACCATGGCACAAACACGAATAGATCGTAGAACAACACGAATAGATAGTAGATAAACACATTTTAACTACAACTAAATGCTACATCTGCTTCTGGACACTTAGTAGTTGACTTGTTATAGTTACCAAATTAAAAAGTGTTGGGTATGTGTAGATACACCATAGGAGGGACTAAATTCCACGAGAAAGCTTTGCTTTCGAGTGAAATTTAGTCCATCCTATGGTGTATCTACACATAGCCAATCACTTTTTTGTTTGGTAAATGACATGTGTCAAAGTTCACAACTGATATCACGTGATAAAAAGTGCTTTTCCCGCTGCATTATCAATCTGCGGGTTTCAGTCGTCTGAAATGGCTGCAAAAATGGTGGTCACTGACATTGACTTTTTAAACTTTTTCTACAACAGTAAACTGTTCGGGCTCAGAGGTGTGAACGAGCATCGGAATCTGTCCGTGGACCAGTTCGAACTTGGAAATGATCAGACGGGAAGCTATATTTTATTCAAGGGCAGAGCCAACAAAACGTACTATGGTAAGTTTCATTTTTCTTACAATTTTGTAGTATTTGTGCTTTTATTGTGTATTTCAATTGGTTCTTTTGTGTATTTGGGTCATCAACACTTGACTGACGATTTTCAGAAAATCCAGGTGTCTTCGTCGAGGTCCGCGCTACAACAGGTGCTTCTTTTATGGAAAACAATAAGGTAAACACGGGTATATTGTGCCGTGTGTATGCTTATTACATTTTACCCCATCCAGGCCAAATGAAATTGTTTTATATTTCAATAATCAGTTTTGTTCAATGTATGATTTTTATGTCACTGAATGTCAATACTTCATTTTTTTTCAGGTGGACTCAGATCAGTGGAACCTAAGTGCCCAAGTCTTAAAACACTACCTTCAAAACCCTGTACTTTCCAAGAATTATCACGGAACAGTATTTGAATATTGTACGTGATCTGAATGGGACAGCCTTTTACAGGAGACCTCTAGATTAAGGACGTACATGTAATGTTTGGTGAACAGTCAGTAGGCGTTAACAAAGTATCTAATATCATGAAAACGGAAAATCGTGAACCATCAAATAGTGCTGGAGGAGGCTTTGGAAGTTTGTTGACTGGATGCATGTCCAATTCTAATAATGGAGGTTAATTACAATGTATATGTGTGATTAATTCAGTATTTGTGGATTATGTTGAATGGTTTTGGTGTCTTTCATTCAAAGGAATGTTTTTATAATGGAATTATGTGCATTTTTTGTAGTGAATTTGTTTGCATTATGGAATTATGTGCATCTATTTTGGTAGGATCAGAGGATTTATATATGTGGCGTTCAGTCTCACATTTTTTTTTAAATAATACAGTTATTAAAATTCATTGTTATACTTATTATATGAAAAAGAAAGGAAACGGGGTATTCACCAATGAAACAACTACCCAACACTTTAGTTTTAGGGTTGAAAAATATTCCAGGAAAGAAAATGTGTTACATTGTAGTTTCTGGCTAAAAGTGTGAGGTATCTAATATACACCACAGGACCATTTTCAAGCATCGGGTAAACCAATCAGAGGGCTGACATGGAACTGTGGTGTATGTGTAGATACCCTCACACTTTTTCAATGGAAAATCAAACAAACTATGGTACATTCTAATTTATACAATAAACCTTTTACATTTCGTTTTATATTTGCACACACTAAATGTTTCACTACACGGATTTCGATTATTCTTACTAGTAAGAATCTTTTTAAAGGTTATTGCCAAAGGGCCTAGATAGATAGACTTCCCGCAGAGATTCCGAATATATCTTTTGGTAACGAATTCAGATATAGAAATAGAAATGAAATGTATCCACATCAGGAAACTATTATCAGTTCTAACATAAATAGGGACTTCGACTTCCTGTTTACACCTTGATAATAGACTTCACATGGGTGGAATTGTTATGTGGTAGTTAAGTGTGTTATGTGATTATTTCTCTATTTTGGGGGATTCTTGTATAACTTAAATTGCTATCCAGTGATGTGTCGGTTACTTGTATATGATAATTTAGATGTTTGACATTATTATTTATATAATCAGTAAAGGTGAGTATTTAGTTCCAATTCATAGCTGATGCTTATAATTGATATCAATGATGAGATTGATTGTTTTTTGTTGCTTAACGTTCAGTGGCAAATGAACGAAGGGAGCATGCTGATTAGTGTGTTTTACTTGAAAGAATACATGTATTATAATTTTTTTTTATAATTAAGTTTTCACGAAGTTCAGGGGTTGGGTAATATTTTGCTACTTTCAAAATTTTATAAGGCTAAGTATATTTTCAAAATTATTCTTACATCTTAAAGCAGAAATCTTTTACTTCAAAAAGTACTGATGATTTATAAAATTATAATGAAATTTGCATTTTCGGATGATTGAAAACTATGCATGCTCATTAATAACAATGAAAATGATACCTGTTCATTTTCATTCTGTCTGAGAAAACTTATTTTTTCATTTTTCAAATGTATTAGGGGGTCATTTGTTTTCAAATTTAATTCTTGTTTTTTGGGGGGAGGGGGGCAATATGTTTGCCTTTAGAATGTTTTTTGGTGTGATGAGCAAACAATATTAGTATTTTTGCTTCTTCTGACGAGCCTACATGTATGTTTAGCAAATCTTGTTGAGGTATCTCCTTCCCCTGGTGGTATTATACTTTACCCTATGTCCCATGAAAGTCTGGATTAGGATTACATAAACATGTCATATTTTTAAAATAATTCAAAGGTCAAAAATTAAAGATCCCTCAAACGGGACATACTCATGATTTGTCAAGCGTACGTAACTTTCGTCAAATTGCAAGAAAGCTCTATTTGGGAAAATAACATGACACAGATTCACTTTTGTCTAAAGCAATCTTTCACATGCATGCTTCTACAACTTTGCGATCTCTGATATCAAATATTCGACGTTGTTACCAACATAGAACAATAAACAAAGCACAAAATCAACTTTTATATTCTTTCGAATGATATATGATATTTATTAGCAGAAAACGAGCTTCAATAGACCATTTCTGAGTTATGTCCTGCACCGGAAAAAGTCGTCAATTATGCGCGTATTTATGACGTCATTTACCAGATAGAGGGGATCGCCTGCATCCCTGCACTATTAACGTTCATCAATCGTCTTAGTGGTCGTCATTGTGCAGGATAAACTAGAAATAATGTTTGTTCCGTAGGTACTTAATAACATTTCCCTAATGACAGCAGTGCTGATTGTCAATTATAAGAATTTGATATGTCGAATGATTCGTGCAACATAGCATCAAATTTTTCAAACCGCTCGCTCAAAATGGGAAAGGAAGTGACGATGCCCTTAAACGCACGAATGATGTTCACTTAACCCAAAGATTTGACGGAAATGCAACGAACTCGAAAGTTGTCTATTGGGACACGCTTTCCATTGCATATTTTCAAACAGACACCAATATCGTGAGCAACGTCACACTAAAACGCTGTGATTGGTAAAAACCGTCATAAACAATGGAAATGAAATCTATGACGTGATATTATTTTTGTTTAAGGGAAACGAGCAATGCAATTTCCCATAGTCCTTTAGTTTCTGAAAAGGCGAATACCATTCTATTTTGACACCATTCTATAAGGTTTCAGTTTTAATCATTTTGAATCACTAGGACATAAAAATACAAATATAGTACACATGATAAAAAAAGTTGCTGGCAGGAAATTATTCTTATTTCTCTTTTTTATGCAAGTTTTTAGTTGTAGGAGCGGATGGGTCGAAGAGTTTTAAATAGTAGCTATACACAAGCAAGAAGTCATATGAGATATGCAAGAATAACTTACAGCAGTGACTGTTGTTGTTGTTTCCTCGGGAACGCTCTCCTATCTTTTTCCGTTTACCCATTTATTTCTATTTATAACTTAACAGTATATGTAAATATCTGAAATAGCCCGTAAAGAAGATTTTCCTTTCAAAATTTAGTTCATATTTAAAGTATCGTAACTTTGTATTTTTTGATGTGTGACGAATACATAACTCAAAAACTAATAATAGATCAAATACCATTAAGATTTTTGACACATTGCAAAATTCTATTTCGATTCAATTGGGATAAAACTGACTAGTCAGGAATAAAACATTCCTATGGCAATCGTTTGTCATCTGATTGAAACAAAATAAATATTTTATGGGTTATTCGCACATTTTAATTACAAAGAATAAGGTACAATTCTTCATTATCCGATGTCTTTCTTATAGATCTTTCTTACATTTTGACAAAAGGTACGAATGAACGTATAGGGGGCATGTATTACATTCCTAAAAGAACGCCGAGAGTCTATCATTGATACAGTAAACAGAATTATTTTCTAAATTAAATTTATCTTTAACAGTTTATGCATATCGCAAATAAAACACGAATTTATGGAACAACTATAGTTTGAAATACACTTACGTCCGATACGTGGCTTTATTTATGTTTATCACGGTTACACAGTTTACTATCAATGAAATTGTTGAAGCAGGCATTTTCTAAATATGTATATCACTAACGGCTTTTTAAATGAAATCCTTGAAGTATGATACTCTAAATGTAACGACAAAATTCAAAACAAATGATGATTCTCATTTTGGACAAAAAAATCCGGGAGAAGGAAATTAATAACTTTTTATTCCATTAATTTATTTTAAAGGTTAACAAAACAAACAAAAAATAAATGCGACACTTGTAATCGTATGAACAAAATGTGACACAATTACCCCGTTCAAAGTAAACGGTTGTTCCCTTAGTATTCCCCAAATGATTTACATGGCCTGTTGTTAACATCTTCAGTTAATGCTTATTGCACAAGTGATATGATCTCTTTCTTTTAAACATTGTTAATTTAAATTATAATCATCTTATAATTGTGGACCGATCAGTTGTGCACTTTTAAAAACTTATATATAGATATACTCGGCTAATAAAGTACAATGGATGCACATTTCGTCCACATAAAACTCATCATAGGCGCTCCAATCTAACTGATTGAAAACCTAAATAAATTACCAAGTTGAAAAGCATTGCAGACCAAAATTTCGAAATGACGTTCCAAATTTGGCTATGGCCATCTTTACCTTGGATTCAAAACCTTGGTTATTAATCTTTCAACGAATACTCATTTTTGTAAATATATTTTCCTTCCGTTTTAAAGCGAAACATGCAGAAATAAGTTTTAATCTTTAATACACAATCATAATATATTATATATTGAAGGACCCTTGACATTGAGAAGAACATATGCTCGATAAATAAGTTGTTTAGAATTGGTATATTTCCAGAATTTAGATTTGGCTCAGGCTATAAGAACACTCTGTTAATTTGTGTATGGAAAGGACAATTGCAGCTTATGTATGCATTTTATTTGACACAGATTTTTTTTTAGCAATATCCAACACAAATTGACCTTGAAAAAAGTAAAATAACAAAAAAACCGAACTCCAAGGAAAATTCAAAACGGAAAGTCCTTCATCAAAAGCTAAAACACATCAAACGAATGAAAAAAAAAACTGTCATACTCATATGAAAAGGATAAGGGTGATAATATAAAAGTCAGAAAATATGTATTTAATATAAAAATAGGGGGTTGTGCTATGATTGCCCGTGAAACAACTATCCACCATAATGCAAATGAGGCGGATGTAAGCAATCATAGGCAACCGTAAGGCATTCAACAATGTGAAAACTCATACCGCATAGTCGGCTACAAAAGTCCCTGACATGAAAAATGTGATACAATTCAAACGAGAAAATCAACGGCTTAATTTATAACAATTATGACAGACATAAACCAAAAACCATCACTGAGCTACATGACCCTCTTTTTGCATGTATATAGTGAATAAATATGAGACAACAGTAGCTAATAGATGTTCAAGTTTTATTAATTCACAAACAGATACAAATCAAGTTTTAAAAAAAAACTGAGGGAAGAGCATTTACTCCAAAATAAGCGAGATCGGTGCGACGACCTGCATCATCCAACATGCGAATCAATCAGGAGATGAGAACGACCAATAAATTTACATATTAGACGACTATTCTGATATCTAAATATCAAAGACCGCGAAAACATGTGCTAGTGAGTTGAGACACGGACACAGTGTCGATTTGACTCGGTCTTCCTCATAAAAAGAGGCAGAAGATACAAAAGGGATATGCAAACCCATTATAGTCAAAGACAAACTGCCAATGCCATGTAAAAAACATAAAAATGTATAAAAGACAAACAAAGGTCTACAAAATCCTGTTGAAGAGATTTTTGTGTAAGGAGCACACTAGTCCGTGAAGTGTAAATATGTACGAGCGTAACGTATTAGTTATAGGTAATGTAAAACACCATGCTTTAGGACAGAAAATATTGAACTGTAGAGAAATGGGAAGTTGACATTTGGAAAGTTGGAAACACCACGTTTGTCATAAATTCTAGTTAGAAGTCGCCAATCAGTGTTAATATCTAGGGAAGGATAAAAATATGAAGCTAATCTTGTAGTTTCGGTAGTAACGTTAATCTGAAATTCACGTGGGTAAATGAGATATAACCACTCACTGGAATGTGTTTTATTGAGCAACAGGACAGCATCCATATATCTGTAACTGAAATCATAAAGAACTTTGCAAGATACTTGTTCTATATCAAAATACATGCATTATATTCCATATCATTCACAATGAAGCCTCCGTTTTTGTAACAAGTGTCATAATGAGACTTCCGAGCTACAAAACTAAATATTGTAAAATTGAGTATGGAAATGGGGAATGTGTCAAAGAGACAACAACCCGACCACAGAACAGACAACAGCAGAAGGCCACCAACAGGTCTTCAATGCAGCGAGAAATTCCCGCACCCGGAGGCGTCCTTCAGCTGGCCCCTAAACAAATATATATACTAGTTCAGTGATAATGAACGCCATACTAAACTCCAAATTGTACACAAGAAACTAAAATGAAAAATAATACAAGACTAACAAAGGCTAGAGGCTCCTGACTTGGGACAGGCGCAAAAATGCGGCGGGGTTAAACATGTTTATGAGATCTCAACCCTCCCTCTATGCCTCTAGCCAATGTAGAAAAGTAAACGCATAACAATACGCACATTAAAATTCAGTTCAAGAGAAGTCCGAGTCTGATGTCAGAAGATGTAACCAAAGAAAATAAACAAAATGACAATAATACATAAATAACAACAGACTACTAGCAGTTAACTGACATGCCAGCTCCAGACTTCAATTAAACTGATTGAAAGATTATGTCTTCATCATATGAATATCAGGCACAATCCTTCCCGTTAGGGGTTTAGTATCATACCATCATAACATATATGAGAAGAACATAACCAGTGTCATTGTGCTTATTTATAATCATGAGGAGGGTCGGAAGAAACCAGTTTTATAATGAGACTTCTAAGTTACAAAACTAGATATAATTCATATTTATAATCATGAGGAGGATCTGAACACAAAAGACACTGTTTCCTGTTGATTCATTTATAAAAGAGAGGCGAAAGATACCAAAGGGACATTCAAACTCGTAAGTTTAAAATAAACTGACACCGCCTTGGCTAAAAAAGAAAAAAGACCAGCAGACAAACTATAGTACACAAAACACAACATAGAAAACTAAAGACTGAGCAACACGAACCCCAGCAAAAAGTGGGGGTGATCTCAGGTGCTCCGGATGGGTAAGCAGATCCTGCTCCACATGTAGCACCCGTCGTGTTGCTTATGTTTTACAAACCTGGTAATAAGTCTAATTCAGTAGGTCATTTTCGGGAAAAGGAACGACATTAGGAACATATCCACTATCATCTGTGAAACGGATATTCCGTAACGGTCAACCAACTCTTGATGGCGTCCGTAAAATTTACGAAGGATTGATTTCAACTTCACCACTTGGAACTCTTGGTTTAATAGCTTCCTTGTGAGCAGCAACCCTCTATCAAGGAATTCATGATAGGAAATACAAGCCCTGGAGTATCGTATCAACTGGGAGATATATACTCCGTATGCAGGCGCTGCTGGATGTTGCTACATAAAAATGGAAAGTTCACTTGTATCTACGTTGGCCATTCTTTTTTATGAAATAAAGCAGGACCAACTCTTTCAACAACTTGTCTTTTAGTTTGGAATGGGGATACTTGTGTAAAGTGTAGAAAAGTCAAATGTTTTAATACTATTGCAAGATGAAAGAGTCTTAGATTGTATGTACTCTAAAAGATCTTTGGAATTTTTTAGTATCAACTCTTATAACTTGACATGAGCTTGTTAATCACAAGAAAACTACCGAAGTAACGGTTCCTCTGGTTGGGTTGAATAACATTAAATCGGTACAAATTTTATTGCACCAGATGTACAGTTCGACAAATAATGTCTCTTAAGTGATGCTCGAGACTAAAATATTTGAAATTACAAAATAAACGTTGAAGAGCTGATAAAACCAAAAAAGGACAAAAAGTAAAGCAACACCCGAACAAGGAATGAACTTTTACAGAAGACGCCATCAAGACTTGGTTAAAGACTACGGATACGTTCCATTCATCGGAGGCATAATCATATCCTCTAGTCGTCTTCATGGCGTATCACTAGTTCTAACTTTCATCGAATTTTAAAAAGTAATCACCGACCAGACTAGTGCCACATGTGGTTAAGGAACTCCCTAACCATCAAGATTATAATAAAGCGTTATTTGAACTGATCAATATTCAGATTTCTATGTTATGTTTTATTTTGCATTTGTTTGTTTGTCTTATCATTTTTCCCCCTTAATTCTTTCATGATAATGATGATGGATTGGTGTTTGACATTCAGTAGCTACATACATATGAAGTCGAGAACATGTTAATGTGATTCTAGACTGACACTCTCAGCCTAATTTCAACGTGCTATTTCAAAAGGTTACAACCCTCAAGAAGACATGTCACCCTAACCGGACACTTCATTCTGACTTCGAGCCGACCAATATTTGCTCCTACTCCTAATGTCGCGTGACTAGCGAAGAATGATAAAATACCATTACTAATTTTCAAGTCTTTGCAACCTGTCGGGATTGAACCCACACCTCCGCACTCAAAAGCTCAAAAGCGAAAAATTATAATTAATTGTAATTACTAGTAATTGATTAATATGATAAAGTTGCATGATTATTACAAACATCAGCTGCCTCTTTATTGCATGTATGTAGTATATATGTTCTCACATATTGTGTTCATTGCATTATATCATTTTCAGTTCATCATGATTTTGTATTTTGTATTATATTGTATTGTATGTACACTTTTAATTGTGTATTTTGTGTAACCTAAAGAATATTTTGTAAAAGTTCATACTTTCGTTGCATATAAAACTATTATCATAATATTATGGACATGTATCCTATAAATTGTATTTGCTTTTTAATAATAAAGTAATCATTATACTGATTTTGCCCCCCACCATTTATAGTTACTAAATTAGTATGACTTTCAAGATTATAGAATGTTTTAGTCTATCTTTTCATTACTCGATGTTCGGTTTGTATAATTAACAAACTTTCTTTTATAGAAAATTTATTATGGTTTAAGATATTTGGTCGTCTTTGATGAATTATTTACTGCTTGTTTGATTTTTGCATGTTAAGTGCTTCTCCATTTTGAAAGCTGCATTGTTAACTTTAGACGCCATCACGAGTAGGTTGACCGTTATAGAATAACTGCTTCTCGGATGATGACGGATATTATAAGTTATCTACGTTCATATCCGTTGATATGGGTATTTTAAGAGGGTCGTAATGGGGGTACCTTCATGACGAATAACGGTAAAAAATCTGGCCAAATGACGTGAACGATAATTTTTGGTGCATGACGATAAAATGAACACTTTCTTTATGACGGTTAAATAATCGACTGATTTTGATGAATCACGTTAAATTCGTTCCAAAAATAACGGTAATGGTTAATTATTTGAGACCTCTGAAATATCAAAACTTCGGTAAGGATATTATGACGAATCACGATAAAATTAGCGGCCAAGTGATGCATTTACTGAAATGAATGCAAATGATCGGCGTAATAGGATCGTTAGTGGATTACATGTTTGATCTCAGACATCATGGATAATCTACATAATTCACTTTTCACTAGGAACAACCACACCCCCTTCCTCTTTTCCTCGATTGTGACATCCCGAATTAGACTAATCACTGAATGTGTACTTTCATAAGCAACAAGACGGATTTTTCTCATATGTAACTTCATAAAAACTTAGATCAACAGATTCAGTCTTCGATAAGTCAAATGACGAGCTTGAATTTACATTTCAATTTGCATTGAAATCCTGGATTTTGCCAAAGATCTTTCTTTACTGTTTATAAAGTTGCTGTACGAAATCCACTACGAAGTACAGATGCATATATTAGAGATTGAAGCAGGATTTCAATCTAGAAGGGGAAGTACATTGAGTAACTGCAAACATTCTATTAAACGTTTTTATGTATTTGTGTTTTGCTTGTATCTGTATTTTTATTGTCAATCATATTAGTTTTATACAGTTATTTGCTTTTTCTGAATTGATTTTTACTTTGGGTTTTTACGGTTTTTTTTAAAAACCTTTTACTGACTAGAAATTATTGAGTGGAGTCGAAGTTTCAATATCTATAAAAACCACGCTACGTATTCACCTTTTTGTCCCAAGGCGGATCCTTGGTGTGGTTATTTTTATTCAAATATTAACGTGAAGTCTTCTAGGGATCTTGTTTTTAGTTGCAGACTTATAGAGTTGTCTCATTGGCACTCATACCACATCTTCTTATATCTATTATGGTAGTATTTAGAACTTGACATAATGTATGGACTACTATCTTTTGTAGAAGGCGATAATAACTATGTTGATATAGTATTCATGAATTAGACTGTGAACTTCGAATTATAACACAAAAGGTTAACAGGGGTACAGTTAGTGCCAATAGGAATACAAATCACAATATATAAACTGAATTAAAATATAATTTTTATACATAACAATTGGTCGGCACGAGAGGGTGACATTCAAAAAATCGTCTTCCGCTAAGCCATGGGACAGAGTAAATTATCTCCCTCGTATTAGCCAATCAAAATCTGGCATTTTAACTTGAAGTATAATAGTTATTGTTATCCACTCATGAAGATGATAATCACTTGAAACGAACTGAATTGTTAAAACCATTAAATCCATTAAACGACAAATATGCATTGTTATAAAATAATTGTTCGCTATGATGTGCAATTTTTTTGCACATGGGGTTATTCTGATGATTTTTTCAACATCTAAGACACACGCAATGTAGTTATAACGCCATTTTTGTGAATTTTATGATGGTTTGATGAGTATTTGCCTTCTTGCCCGGTAAATATAAAAAAAGTCAAATCTACCACACTTTCTTTGGAGAGGACATTGACTTTGAACTAGATGTAGATTTAGCTGAGTTTCTTAAACCACCATTTCTTGTATAAAACATCCTAGTCTGGTCCTGGTAAAGCTTCATATTTGACCAGGAAAAATATTTAGTACAGTCAATAAAATTTATCCTTCTGTTGAATTCTAGAGTCTTTAGTTTAGTAGCTGTGGTCGGTTTTGATAATCTTGACAATAAGTTCTTTTCTTTAGGAACGTACGACCGAGGTCTCATAATTGGCGTCAAGCTCTGTGTTGGTGTTTCTATTGCTGTACTAGGACGGGATGGACGTAGTGGTTTAGGCTCTCTCCATGACGGAAATTTCATGCCCATATTATCAGCCGGTGCAACCGTGGTCTGGAAAAAGAGAATAACAATTAATAAGTTGTTTCCACCAAAAACATTATCCATTATCTTTAATTGTTAATTTGTCAATTTGTAACTATCATAATCTACTAAATGTTATGCACAATGTTCTTGTCTATGTTTGTATCACCCTGCTCCGCTCGTCCAAATATCGACAGATTGATTGAATGATTGATTTATGCTCAACCTCCAGTAAACAATAACTTCAATTGTTAGGTTCTGGATTGGATCGACAAGGAATACAAAGGACGAGAAATTAGACTGTAATTGCATGGGGAAAAGATTATGTTGATAATGAGAAGACAGTAAGACATGGCAACGTTTATGGTAATTTGGCCGATTGAAGCTATAGTCATATTATTAAATGAAATATTTTATTATTTGTAACTGACAGAGGTCAAAATACATGTTGATCAGTATTTACGTTAAATGAGCGATAACTCTATTATACATACTGAATAACTGATTGAATGATTGATTGTTGGTATTTCAGCCACTTTTAACACAATTGGTAATATCATGGCGGTCAGTTTTTATTGGTGGAGGAAGACGGGATTCCAGGCGAAAATCTCAAAACTTCGGTAGGAAAACGGAAAACTCCAGTCACTTAAGATCGGAGACGAGAGCACCTTGCCACGAGCGAGTTTCGAACTCACAACCGCAGTGTTCACTGCAGATAAACTATTTAGACCACTTGGGAACCGAAGCCCCATGCATATACTGAATGAAGTTATTCATAAAAAGCAACCAAACACCACAAATGTAAATCGCCTGGTTAGTCTAGACAAGTTGTAATTATAATTAATATTTTTAGGTTCCTATTGGTCATTTAGATATTCACGTATTCAAATAATTATACATCCTTGGCTTTAAATGTTGGAATTTGAGCGTTTCTGGTGAAAGCAAATCCTGAAAAGCGGTTCAGACGCACCAAATTTATAAAGTGTTGTTTCTATCTTCGGTTAATGTAAATTGTTTTAAGGACGGATAAGCATAAGATAATTACTAAAGACATGCACTGAAACCACAATTCTTAAAAGTTAGATTCTACCGACGCAAACTAGTCAGCTTCAAAACTGGATACATAAATGTACACAAAACTGAAAGATAAACGTGGTGTTTTCAATATTCCAACACGCTATAGAATATCTTATCGTTTTAAATTGGAATTATCTGAGTTTTTTTTCGGTTTTACTAAATTGCTGTTTGGAAAATAAAAGTAATATGTCAGAATTACATTAATACAGCGATTGTTTGCATCACTGTGTAATTGTTATGGTCGTCACCACGGGTTTGTGTAACATTACACAGAAAGTATCTCGTCGACGACTTAAGACATATTCATATTTCTTAATGAATTACGCTCTCCAAATCACATTCATTTACCTCGGTACTCTTATAGTCTGCTCAATTAACAGAAATATTTTGTTTGTTTCTTTTTGTTTGTCAGGATTTGAAAGCTCACTGCTTAAAAGTAGAGTGAAGCGAAGTGGTTTGGACAGGACACCAGGCTAAAAGGATACTAGCACGTGTTACACCGATTTCACAGCACGCTCGCTCTATACATTCGCTTTCTGGAGTATAACCCTCCCGGAGCACCTGATATCACCCAAAGTTTTAGGTGGGGATCGTGTTGCTCAGTCTTTAGTTTTCTATGTTGTGTTTTGTGTATTGTTGTTTATCTGTTTTTAGCAATGGCGTTGTCAGTTTATTTTCGACTTACGAGTTTGAATGTCCCTTTGGTATCTTTCGCCTCTCTTTTAAAACCAAAATGGTCTACGTAGAAAAGTCAAAACATTGAATGAGAGACTATGTATGACAAAGTTGTAATTATACATTAATTCGAAGTACCATATCATTTTGATTTTTGAATTTGCCGCATTAGTTGGACTTCTTTTTACTGGATATTACACTTTATTGTTTTACAGTTACATTAATCCAAATATTTCAGTCCTCTACAATGACTACTTAGTGGGAGAATAGATTACGGAGTGGGTCTGAATTATTCGGTTTACGACTATATTGGAAGGCAAACCAACAGTTTTTACCGATCTTCAGATCTCATTAATCCATTGAAAAGATACAAATCAAGGTAAAAACAAAAACTAAGGAAAATCGCATGAACTCCAAGAGGAGCAGGACTGATACATCGAAGGAGTGAGCGTACAAACAATCTAAGTTCCTCTTCGTTCATTAGTATATACCATTTGTCTTCTGTGCAATATACACAAGTATTCTCAATTATGAACTTAAAGACACTGTATATTGAAAAAATTAGACCAATTCTGTTTCATTAAAAGATTGGCCAGCGTAGATACCAATATCTTGAGTAAGAACACATTCGGTTAACTTACAGATAAGACGACGTGTGTGTTATCTAAATTAAAAGATCTAAGAACAAGAAAATATGTCCAACAAAGCAGATACATTGTCATAGGTATTTCGAGGCTTTTTAACCACAAACAGGACTGTTAAAAATTCTATTTCACATAACAGCTATTGTTCCATCATATTTTCTCCAATTTCTTATCAATTCGACAAACCGTATAAACGATGACAGAACATTATTGAAAATTAAGATGTATAATTACTCATTTCCTTTTCATAAAAAGAAACAACAAAAGCCTTGCACGTTTATAGTAATATGAAACGGCTTTTAGCTAATGTCATCCGATTCTAATATAAGAATACTTCCAAATTTCATTGATAATTCCTTTGGTAGCAATTTTCCATGTCCTAAATTACAATTAAAAATACATGTACTCACACGACCAGGTTTATATGGTGATGTTGATTTACGTGTTAAATCCACTGATTTAGACGTAGTTGTTGAGGTACTTCCTGGGCTGTAAGTTCTCCAACTCATAGAGAGAGAACTTGCGGACGAACTTGTCGGCATTTCTGGGGTTTTGTAACCACAAACAAGACTGTTCAAATTATATTTCACCAAATATTCATATTTTTGTCAAATTAAAGCTGGATATTAGTTCCACACACATATTCTTAAACGTTATTTAACAACTGACTCGACAACCAAATAGAATTAAAACTTGAATACATAAAAGCCAATCAGATTATTGGATTATTGGCAGATTAACACTTATAATTCTTTGGTGTTAAGACGCCATACAGTTTAAAATAGGTCATTCTCGTATTGTAGTTATAACAATACACATTTAATTTATTTAAAGTTAAGATGTAAAAATAATTTGTTCTACAAGATTCAAGAATAAAAGGGTATAGATGTATGGTAAATTAGTCACATTTAGTATTTTAAAATCATGCATACTGTTAAGTCAACAGTAATACATTGCATTTTCTGAGAATTTTGATTGAGACGAATTTTTACAAGTGGAATTCGGGTGAAAATTTATTAAATTGTATACGATGACGTCAATACTATATAAGATAATAATAGCATTAATATTTAAAAAAATGTTTTCCAATTCACAAAATGCCATTAATCCATTCGGTAACCTTAAAAGTAAACAGGCATGAATGCATTAATATTTTATTATTTTAAATCGCATAAAGAATTGCTAACAGTCATGCTGGCTGAATAACATTAACGGTACCAATTTTTCTGCACCAGATGCGCATTTCGACAATCAATGTCTCTTCAGTGATGCTCGAGGCCAAAATATTTGAAAATCCAAAGCTTATTAAAACGATGAAGAGCTATAAAGAGCCGTTCTCTCTGATAAACACTTCTCGTCCTTGTAATTTGTCCATGAAAATGTACTATGATTTTAAAATGATATCTGTTAAAGGATAAATGACACACCAGCCTCCAATGTATGCTTGACCATCCAATTTTAAAACGAATAAAGAAAGATAAAAACAATTGCTAAATATCTTAAACCACTTTGTAACCAGTGCATTCGGAGATGTTTAAACAATATAAAGCCTTTCTGGAATGTAAAGTATTAACCAATAGGATCTATTATTTTTTTCCAAGCTGATAATTTGGTTGACCTAGAATCCCATGTAATTGAATAATTATGCCCCTAATATGGTTTGAGTGTTAGTATAAGCAATCGCACGATTTTCCATTTATCTCTTTTTCACCTTGAGAAGTAAGAAGACAAATGTAAACAATAATATAACACCATATAAGAAGTGGGTAGTTGTTTCTAAACACCCTTACCTTTTAGTCTAAAACTGTTATGAGCAACACGACGGGTGTCACTACCGGATCAGGAACCGCTTTCCCTTCCGGAGCATATGGGTTAACCTCCAGTTAATGGTGGGATCCGTGTTACTCAATTCTTTAGTTTTATGTGTAGTTTATTCGTTTTTGTTGTTTTTTCTTTTCGGCGTTTTTTCATTTTGGTCATGGTGGTTTTTTCTATATTGGTGATTTACTTGTGATTCTTAATTGCCCCTTATATCTCCCTGTCTGTCTGTCTGCCTGCCTGGTTGTTTGGTGCATAACTTTTGTTCTGCATAACTTAGGTTAACCAAACTTGGTGTGCAGTTGCATCAAGGGCTTGGGATGTGTCATATACATATACTACCCCTATGATAGTAAAACCTTGTCTAATTCGTGTCCGGTGCATAACTTTTGTGACGACGAGGCGACGAAATGCCGGAAATTATAACAACCATTCCAAAAATTAGGGAAGTTTATCCTTGAACACCTCATTGATGCCATCGGTTGTTCAAAACAGGAATTGAAACATGCAATATTGAGGTTCAAGGCAAGACTATTTAGGTCGATTCAATATAATTAAAGTATAGATCTATGATTTTGTTATGCTCATTCGACGAATAAGCGAATTACGATCGATCTGAATTTTTATCAGATTGAGGTCGATTGACATTAATAATTTCAAGAGATTGCTTTTGCTTCATCTCTCCTGAATGACGGCTTAATATTAAAACTTTTTTCAGGAAAAACATGCCTATCTTTCTTTCATAAAATGGTTTTTCGACGGTTCTTTTGTTCATAAAAGCAAAACAGTACGTTAAATGTTTCATGTTTGTGAGAGTAATGTTTCACTAAATGAAAAAAAGTTGAGAGATCAGCTTATTAGAGTGCAACTAAGTATTGCATTGTTAGAGACACATAGCATATGTTTCATACTTAAAAATGCATATATCATAGCGTGTGTTTCAAATGTGCGTCTCATTTTCGTTTGTGTTTTTTTTTAAGTGTGTAAGGTTTCCTGACGTCTTTTAAAATAAACAATGTAGCTTTACAAAATAAAAAGATCATATCATCGTTGATATGACAACTATCCATAAAGACCAAATGTCAAAGATGTGAACAATTACAGGCCATTGTATAGCCTTCAATAATGAGCAAAACACATGCCGTGTAGTAAGCTATAAAAGGTCATGGGATGACAAAATGTGAAACAATTCTAAATTAAAAAAAACCAACGGGCTGATTTTAAACAACATTTTCGAAAAACACATATGACAGACAGCAATCAATGACAACCACTGGATAACTTTACCTTATAACAACAACATCAGTTATAATTCGCAGTGTTGATCCGATGTTGATGTCATCAAATGGTGATTTGTCGTCTGTGTCTCTCTTCTGGCGGAGGCTCCTTGAAACAATAACATCCATCACATCTCTTCTCTTTCGTCATCATCCGTTAGCACCACAGTATGACATGACCATGATGGCTGTCGTACAAATTAAAAAAAAAAATCAATAAATGTCTTCATTTCACACAACAAAGTCTTCTTAAGCTAGTGCTCAATGACTATCAAAATTTTAAAAAACAGCTTACCAGGTTCACGATTTGCACATTTTTATAACGAAAGCAATTCGTCTCGTGAACGACTCTTCAATTTTTCTCATCAATGAATCCATTTTAAGCAAGTTATGTTTTGTTTTCAACACGAACGGTATACAAAACACTTATATGCATTTGTGCACTAAAAATAGTATCGTTTATATAATTATATATATTTACCGGTGGCCGGTGTCACCGGTGAAGCTTCTTTTGTTGCTGTCGAATGGAAAAGCATGTGTAAGTATGCAGTCTGAACGTTAAACAATGTATTGCTTGAACCTCGCATATCATTAATATTTAAAATACAAAATTTTCCAAAAAAAAGATGTTTCCAAAGTTTGATCGTCGTTGTGGGGCATTTGCCTCTTTTGCCTCCATTACGCTGCGGGTTTGGGTTATAGATAGGAAAACCATTAAATTTGTTTCCTATCTGTCTAGTTCTAAATAAATTTTGTGACAAAGGGCAGTATACAAGTTTTTCAGTTGTGACCATATTTCTATACCCCAATCACCCGAGGTATTGACGTTATTTGAAAAATATTTTAGAATATAGTGGTCAATATTAGACTGCGGAATGAATATTATTTCATAATCAAATATTTGGTACTTTACTTGCTTCCAGTGCTGAATTTTGAGCATCCTGAAAGACATTGGTGTAAAGTCTTGTAAAAAAACATTGCCGAGTTTTTAAAATTCTGTTTACCACATATATCCTACTTGGTTAGATTTTTATTGTCCGTTCTGTTCATTCACTGATCTAGATTTAAAATACTCACAATACTAGTTTGACCTTTGTTCATGTATATGTGCCTGCCCAAAGTCAGCTTTCGTAAGGGGTTGTCGTTTACTCTACAGAAGTTTGTACTTTGGGTGTTGGTGTCAGACATTTGGTCGTCTCTGTTAAATATTGATAAATTGTATAGACTCGAGATGTTTTAAGAGTAAATTGGTGCATGTTCTATATATATTTTGATCAACATCCAACTTCTATCTCTCCGAGACAAGCAAATGTTTTAAACTGTGCCTTTTTTCCTAACACCCTAATAAAATTGAGAATGTAAACGGGGAATGCGTTAAAGAAACAACAATCCGACCAAAGAGCAGAAAACAGCCCAAGGCCACCAATAGGTCTTCAACACAGCAAGAAAATCCCGCACCCGGAGGCGGATTTCAGCTGGCCTAATAATGTATTATACACTAAACTCCGAAACATATAACTCTTCAGTGTCTCAATGTTGTATGTTTGTAGGGGAAAAGGGATATGGCGTTGGTGGCATATCTTTGAAGGTCCTTGTTTGATTTATTGACAACTCCTTTTTTTAAATTCCTGGTGGTTTATAGCTTATAACCTGACTATAACTATCGTTGAAGACCTATATTGACCTCTGAATGTCTTTTTATGTCGTTAGGGATGCTATCTCATTGCCTTTATATTAGTAATATTGTGTTACAAACACTGCAACGTACAGAACACTCACTTATATAAATCAGCAAATTTATATTTATTCTAGTTCAAAAAGAATTAGATGGAAATTACAGAGGAACCAGACGCCGTCAAGTGAAAAGAAGACGAGCAAACGCATGGTAGAAAAACAGTTTTAAAAAGGAGAACGGTGTGTATTTGATACACACAAAGAGATCACAAAAGTAGCAGAATAACTTCGCAAAACTCGATCTGAAATGAAGTTGTGTTCCCCATGTTTTATTTTGACTAGGACAATTGCACTTTTCCTTGAACGTCTATGTCAGAACAAATTCCAATGAAAGTAAGGGAAACATCGAATACTCCGTAAAAGCATACAATAAGCATGTCCACTGACATCTTAAAATCTCCTGTACAAGAACGTCAATAGTCAGAAGACGTATTTTCAGTTATCATACTAAATTTGATCACCTTGTTAAAGGAAAGAAACTGTATGCCGAGAAAGAAAAAGTTGAAATGTGAGTTACGGACGGACGAACATGACCACCCTTTCGATCGGGGTTTACATAGCTTAACTGTGAGCTACTTCCTTATTTAGTATACAATTCTCGGGTTGCATGAAATCACGATCAGAATAAAAAAGTAAAAAAGATACTTGGGGGTTGGGGTGGCTTGGGGTTAAAAACAACAACTCGAAGATAGATAGAAAAACCCACGACGAAAAGAGAAACAACGTTCCATAACTGAAGATTGGATCACGTCAAAAACCGTAATGAAGTCCGGTGCTCCATAAAGGTAAGCAGTATCTGTTCCACTAGAGTAGCATTACCATTTGTGTTGCTTTTCTGTGTTTCTTCTATGGATATGTAACTGTTTGTTCTTATGTTGCATTGGCTGTTTGCTCAGGTTTTACTTCAGGTTTGTAATCTTTTTGTTCCTAAATAAAAATATGTTAAAAGTATTCAGAATTTTTGTAACTTACTTTCATGTGTTTATTGGTATCCATCCTTGTATCTTTTGTTTCTGGATTGTTTTACCTTTTCTCTTAGTTTTAATAATCTTTCTTTAGAATGATTTATTTCATTTTCTAACATCTCTAAACTTCTTAAAGAATAATCAATCTCATATTCTATTTGGTCATATTGTCTTTGCATTCGACTGTCTTCGTTGTTGTCATTACACAGGGTTGTCGTTTTATATTCAAGCTCGTGACATCCCTTTTTTCGTTCACATAAGTTGTTATATATATTAAGAGCATTTTGAGATCCTAGTATTTCCTTTGAATACTTTCCCTTTGTTGCATAAACAAGTGCTTTCTCTGTGTATTTTATAGCTTTTGGGAAGTTATAATCTAAACCAAAAAGTCTAGCTTTTGCTGTAGAGTATGACCATTTCCAACGAGTTTCCATTCTCTTCCAACTTTCTTTAGTCTCTTTTATTGATCGTAAAAAACTTATGGCTTTACGTTTGTCTTCTGTTGTAACAAATACATCCAGGTATGCACCAAACATAGCTATACCTAAGAGGAGATGTGAAAGTTTTAACAGTACCATTCTTTTGAAATCCAAATACACAGTTTCATCAAATTCAATTTCTACAGCAAAATGTTCAATTGCTTTGTTAGCAATGTTGTAGAGTTGTTCCTTAAGATCTGGTTCCAAAGTTTGAGCGTATTTCTGACACAACATATTATACTCAATGTATAATACCGTACCCGTTTCCCTACAAGCATGTATTAAGTCAAACTTACTTTTTGCATCATTTACATAGTCTAAGGCGGTATCTAGTTCATTTTTGTTTGTCATTAGAATAGCCGAGCCATATCGAACAAGTCTCATCATTTCAGGTAAGTTTTCCTCTGACAAATAAGGTTTCAGATTTTCCATTTTATCAAAAACGTCGGTATACATAAGATTTTTATCGTATATAACTCTCCGATACTCACACCAAGCATCTAGGGCAAAAAAGTAAAAGTCTGCAGCTTTATATCGCTTACTATTCAAACCTGAATTTTCAATATTTTTCCAGTTTTGTTCTGCTTTGAAAAACTCTTCTTCGAATGTCGCATGATCTCCTGTATGACTAAGACGTTTCAGATAATGTCTATACACCACTAACTCTTTTCGAAACCTGCTAAAATATTCTGCTTTTCGTTGGACGGAAACTGAGTTGTGCGATGACTGACGAAGTACTTCTGCTAAAAAACCATACCCAGTATTTCTTAGCGCCTCGTATAAAATTTCCATTGTTAGAGTATCCATGCTCGTCACTAAGAACATGAACATTCGAGCTCTGTCCCCTCTGAATTCGATACTTCGCAATTTCTCACAAATACTTGCGTTAAAAACATCAATTTCATAAAGAAAGTCCATGACGTAATTTGGATCTAGATTCTCTATAAATATTCGGTGCACTTTTCGGATCACTACTTTGCTTTGTTCATCCATTTTATCATTAATATCACGGAAGTGTCGGAAGTTGTAAAAAATTTTTTTTACATGTGTTCCTAAAAAAGGTCCCTGACGCAATATAGGTCTACAAGATCCTTATATTCATTGTGTGCATTTTTCCAAGTACAATGTACTTCCTTATTATATTAGCCCATTTCTTTATATAATTCATAAATTTCATATGCGTTTTAAATGTTTTCATCGGAAATCAAGAAATGTTTAAAATGTTTTGTGTATCGTGTTTATTAACCATAACCTTTTGCTGAATAACAGATATTTATACGTGTACAATTTAAATCAAATATTGCAATACTATTGTCTGCATGAAATATAATCTATAAAATTAGAAAAAAAGTACACTATAATATTGTCAACCTTATAGTATAGTGTGTGTTTCATGTAAATTATTTCACCTTCGAACGGAGTTCTTAAGAGTATATATTTACTTGGCTCATGCACTTAAAGCATGTTCCTTCTTTTTAAGTAGTTTCTTTCACACACGTTATCTGTTTATCTGTACGCGATATACTGTGCAGTATGTTAGACGGAAATCTTTTGAAATTATCAATTTACAGAAATCATGTCACAGAAAAAGATACCAAAGGGACATTTAAACTCATAAGTCGAAAATAAACTGACAACGCCATGCCTAAAAAAGAAAAAGACCAATAGACAAACAACATGCACAACACAAAATGTAAACTAAATACTGAGCAACACAAACCCCACCAAAAACTGGGGGTGATCTCAGGTGCTCCGACAGGGTAAGCAGATCCTGCTCCACACGTGGCACCCGTCGAGATACACTTGAACAAAACCCGCAACCGAAACTCGAAACAAAACGATCCAAGGTCATAATTTCCATCTGTATGCTTAATTCATACGTAATATTTATCCCAACAATGTAAGAACGGCATTTCGCTTGCAATGAAGTAACTTGATGATCTATGATAATGAACCATATAAAAGTGGGATTTCTAGTCTCTTTAAGTTCCATATGTCTTGGAACTGTAAAAGTAATGCAAAATATTTTGTCTTACTAATGAAATATCTTGTTAAGAGGAATTTAAAAAAATGCATCTACACTGAATGCAAAATAAAATAAGATATTAAATTCGAATTTCGAGATTTGAAAAGTTAAAATTTCTAGTTTAAGTCGAAATTTTATAATTTTAAAATTCAAAATTTTCGAAAAAAAGAGTTCAATATGTATTTGATTTTTACTATGGCCCTAAAACGCTTCCGTAAATTTGCTCTGTGAATAGACGAATTGTGATGCTTTCCAACAGATACATTTTGCGACGTCATCGGACACGAGCAAATCATACATGTAATGCCGGGCAGGCCTAGAAATTAAGTAAATATTTTTTAGCGAATTTCCAAGGATTCAGTATTCCTTCAATGGAACCGAATAAAGATACTGTTGGCACTGCGTGGTCGTTGTGTAATTTTTTACAAATTTAGGCCCCAAAAAAAGGGAAATTCTATCGAAAAGTGAAATAATATATACACAGTGATTGAGTGGGCAATTTTGAATTTGTGATTAAAACTAAGTACAAATGTATATGCGTTTTGCATAAAGATACTGAGTACAGCTGTTCCCTAAACATGTCAGCCTTGGAAAGGGGGTGTTAGAGTATCCATGCTCGTCACTAAGAACATGAACATTCGAGCTCTGTCCCCTCTGAATTCGATACTTCGCAATTTCTCACAAATACTTGCGTTAAAAACATCAATTTCATAAAGAAAGTCCATGACGTAATTTGGATCTAGATTCTCTATAAATATTCGGTGCACTTTTCGGATCACTACTTTGCTTTGTTCATCCATTTTATCATTAATATCACGGAAGTGTCGGAAGTTGTAAAATTTTTTTTTTACATGTGTTCCTAAAAAAGGTCCCTGACGCAATATAGGTCTACAAGATCCTTATATTCATTGTGTGCATTTTTCCAAGTACAATGTACTTCCTTATTATATTAGCCCATTTCTTTATATAATTCATAAATTTCATATGCGTTTTAAATGTTTTCATCGGAAATCAAGAAATGTTTAAAATGTTTTGTGTATCGTGTTTATTAACCATAACCTTTTGCTGAATAACAGATATTTATACGTGTACAATTTAAATCAAATATTGCAATACTATTGTCTGCATGAAATATAATCTATAAAATTAGAAAAAAAGTACACTATAATATTGTCAACCTTATAGTATAGTGTGTGTTTCATGTAAATTATTTCACCTTCGAACGGAGTTCTTAAGAGTATATATTTACTTGGCTCATGCACTTAAAGCATGTTCCTTCTTTTTAAGTAGTTTCTTTCACACACGTTATCTGTTTATCTGTACGCGATATACTGTGCAGTATGTTAGACGGAAATCTTTTGAAATTATCAATTTACAGAAATCATGTCACAGAAAAAGATACCAAAGGGACATTTAAACTCATAAGTCGAAAATAAACTGACAACGCCATGCCTAAAAAAGAAAAAGACCAATAGACAAACAACATGCACAACACAAAATGTAAACTAAATACTGAGCAACACAAACCCCACCAAAAACTGGGGGTGATCTCAGGTGCTCCGACAGGGTAAGCAGATCCTGCTCCACACGTGGCACCCGTCGAGATACACTTGAACAAAACCCGCAACCGAAACTCGAAACAAAACGATCCAAGGTCATAATTTCCATCTGTATGCTTAATTCATACGTAATATTTATCCCAACAATGTAAGAACGGCATTTCGCTTGCAATGAAGTAACTTGATGATCTATGATAATGAACCATATAAAAGTGGGATTTCTAGTCTCTTTAAGTTCCATATGTCTTGGAACTGTAAAAGTAATGCAAAATATTTTGTCTTACTAATGAAATATCTTGTTAAGAGGAATTTAAAAAAATGCATCTACACTGAATGCAAAATAAAATAAGATATTAAATTCGAATTTCGAGATTTGAAAAGTTAAAATTTCTAGTTTAAGTCGAAATTTTATAATTTTAAAATTCAAAATTTTCGAAAAAAAGAGTTCAATATGTATTTGATTTTTACTATGGCCCTAAAACGCTTCCGTAAATTTGCTCTGTGAATAGACGAATTGTGATGCTTTCCAACAGATACATTTTGCGACGTCATCGGACACGAGCAAATCATACATGTAATGCCGGGCAGGCCTAGAAATTAAGTAAATATTTTTTAGCGAATTTCCAAGGATTCAGTATTCCTTCAATGGAACCGAATAAAGATACTGTTGGCACTGCGTGGTCGTTGTGTAATTTTTTACAAATTTAGGCCCCAAAAAAAGGGAAATTCTATCGAAAAGTGAAATAATATATACACAGTGATTGAGTGGGCAATTTTGAATTTGTGATTAAAACTAAGTACAAATGTATATGCGTTTTGCATAAAGATACTGAGTACAGCTGTTCCCTAAACATGTCAGCCTTGGAAAGGGGGTGTTAGAGTATCCATGCTCGTCACTAAGAACATGAACATTCGAGCTCTGTCCCCTCTGAATTCGATACTTCGCAATTTCTCACAAATACTTGCGTTAAAAACATCAATTTCATAAAGAAAGTCCATGACGTAATTTGGATCTAGATTCTCTATAAATATTCGGTGCACTTTTCGGATCACTACTTTGCTTTGTTCATCCATTTTATCATTAATATCACGGAAGTGTCGGAAGTTGTAAAATTTTTTTTTTACATGTGTTCCTAAAAAAGGTCCCTGACGCAATATAGGTCTACAAGATCCTTATATTCATTGTGTGCATTTTTCCAAGTACAATGTACTTCCTTATTATATTAGCCCATTTCTTTATATAATTCATAAATTTCATATGCGTTTTAAATGTTTTCATCGGAAATCAAGAAATGTTTAAAATGTTTTGTGTATCGTGTTTATTAACCATAACCTTTTGCTGAATAACAGATATTTATACGTGTACAATTTAAATCAAATATTGCAATACTATTGTCTGCATGAAATATAATCTATAAAATTAGAAAAAAAGTACACTATAATATTGTCAACCTTATAGTATAGTGTGTGTTTCATGTAAATTATTTCACCTTCGAACGGAGTTCTTAAGAGTATATATTTACTTGGCTCATGCACTTTAAGCATGTTCCTTCTTTTTAAGTAGTTTCTTTCACACACGTTATCTGTTTATCTGTACGCGATATACTGTGCAGTATGTAAGACGGAAATCTTTTGAAATTATCAATTTACAGAAATCATGTCACAGAAAAAGATACCAAAGGGACATTTAAACTCATAAGTCGAAAATAAACTGACAACGCCATGCCTAAAAAAGAAAAAGACCAATAGACAAACAACATGCACAACACAAAATGTAAACTAAATACTGAGCAACACAAACCCCACCAAAAACTGGGGGTGATCTCAGGTGCTCCGACAGGGTAAGCAGATCCTGCTCCACACGTGGCACCCGTCGAGATACACTTGAACAAAACCCGCAACCGAAACTCGAAACAAAACGATCCAAGGTCATAATTTCCATCTGTATGCTTAATTCATACGTAATATTTATCCCAACAATGTAAGAACGGCATTTCGCTTGCAATGAAGTAACTTGATGATCTATGATAATGAACCATATAAAAGTGGGATTTCTAGTCTCTTTAAGTTCCATATGTCTTGGAACTGTAAAAGTAATGCAAAATATTTTGTCTTACTAATGAAATATCTTGTTAAGAGGAATTTAAAAAAATGCATCTACACTGAATGCAAAATAAAATAAGATATTAAATTCGAATTTCGAGATTTGAAAAGTTAAAATTTCTAGTTTAAGTCGAAATTTTATAATTTTAAAATTCAAAATTTTCGAAAAAAAAGAGTTCAATATGTATTTGATTTTTACTATGGCCCTAAAACGCTTCCGTAAATTTGCTCTGTGAATAGACGAATTGTGATGCTTTCCAACAGATACATTTTGCGACGTCATCGGACACGAGCAAATCATACATGTAATGCCGGGCAGGCCTAGAAATTAAGTAAATATTTTTTAGCGAATTTCCAAGGATTCAGTATTCCTTCAATGGAACCGAATAAAGATACTGTTGGCACTGCGTGGTCGTTGTGTAATTTTTTACAAATTTAGGCCCCAAAAAAAGGGAAATTCTATCGAAAAGTGAAATAATATATACACAGTGATTGAGTGGGCAATTTTGAATTTGTGATTAAAACTAAGTACAAATGTATATGCGTTTTGCATAAAGATACTGAGTACAGCTGTTCCCTAAACATGTCAGCCTTGGAAAGGGGGTGGGGTATTGTATGTGGTGGTAGCAATTTCCATTGAATTATTGTATATATACAGAAAGAATGATAATTTGTATGTATCTTTAGTGGTTCAAATTTGCATGTATGTTGAGTCATGATTTTTTTTTGGTGTTAATTCTACTGTCATGTCAGATGTCAGATCTATTAGCATAGTGAATGAAATTGCTAGAATATTATGAACAATCTTGTAGAACATAATTGATCTTGTACATGTTATCCTTTATTGTAATGCTGGCCAGTTTAACGTGTTACTTTTTCATTTCTGATGCGGATGTTATGGTATCGATCGAGACACATCTGGGAGCTCTTCTTTGAACTATTTCAATTGTTTAGGTCTGCTCCGCAGAATGAGGGTCCCAAACTGAGCACGAATACTCCCGTTTTGGTCGAACAAGTGACATTTATGTCTGACTTTTGATGTTCTGGCTTGATAGAGCCAGTAAATATCATTTGATGTTTTTTTTAGGAAGCCTAGTGATTTGTTGCCATTAGCTATGACGTTCTTTGTATGTTTTGATCATTTTAAGTTTGTTTGTAGTATAATGCCAGGACATTTAATCTAATCAACACATTTAGAAGAAAAAAGTTGATGTTTATTTTGCAATAAATGTGATCAGCTGCAAGTATGACATACACTTCAGGATGATTTCATGTTTATGTGGTTTGATCTTGAACCCTGCCTTGTATTAGAACGACACAGTGAGCCAGATTCTCAATATGCTTGGTTGAAATACAACTGTTCGCAGAACATGTCAACCAACCCGAATATATATATTCTGACTTTTGAGCCAACCAATATTTGCTTTAACTCCTAAATATCGCATGCTTGGTGGAGAGCCAGCTAATATTATTTCAAAGCTTTTCATTTGACCCGGTCAGGGGTAGAGCCAACGAGATTCTGCATTTAAAGCGCTATTACGAGACCACCGGGTTTTTTTTTAACGACTGATGTATAACAAACATCAAGGACATGATCAACGGAGATTACGAAAATGGAGAAAAACAAAAAGACATTGATTCTAAATATTTTAACTAACGTATATACATGTCTTTAAGCTAGTTGATTGTTTGTTGGTGCTTGACGACTCTTTTGGTACTCTTGGCTATATCATGGCGACCACTTCTTATTGATGAAGGAAGCCGAAGTACCCTGGAAGAACCAACGACCTTCGGCAGGAACACTGGCAATCCTAGTCAATTAAGATCGGAGTCGAGTGCATCTGCAACGAGGGGGGGGGGGGGGGGGGGGGGGGGGGTTCAAACCCACAACATCAGTGTTGACAGGGTAATGATCACTGTAGATGAACTACTAACTTAAGATGCTTTTTAGCAAAATAAAAAAAAATTGAGTTACCGTACGTTTGATGTGCTCTGAAACATAAACGAAAAACCTACTGTATATTCCTTTGTAAATCTTCATAATTTGAGTTATCTCCCTTTAAAGACTTATTTAAAATAAAAATAATGAAATCGAAAGATATTCTGTATTTGTAAAAACAGTCGTAATAATAAGATAAAATCACACAATTCTCTTCATTTAATAGAAATGTAGTATTACAATTTATTTGCCATTATGTCTCAACATTTGCATATTTCATTAAAAATCTAGTCTGCCGTGTTCTGTAATTTAACAATCTAAGATGGCAGAGAACCCAGTATTACTTTAAGCAAAGTCTCAAGTATAAATTAAACCAATATTTGAATGTCAATAAAAACTGGAAAAACATTTCAATAAATCGCTAAACAATATCTATGAATAATGTAATGGAAATTATAAAAAAAGACTGATTCCGGTTTTTTTTTTTGTAAACCTAAATGAACAGTAATTAGCTCAACGGTCCATACCCCACATACCTCAAAATCCATTCTTTCCAATTAGCATTAACAAATAATTCTGATGTATATATATACATTGTTTACTCTTGAATAACCTAAGCATTTTAAGTGAGCAGTAACTTGCAGATTAAGTGTTAACTATTGAAATGATAGGAGCACTGCATCATTACACACTAAGCAATCTATGAAAGTTTTTGAGAAATCTACCAAGCCTTTGTGAATGAGGCAAAATCAAAGTGTCAAATTGCTCCGTACAAGTTATTTTGAAGTAAACAAAATATGTGAACACTATACTATTATTCACCGTTCAAACAGTCTGGCAGTTTGTAAAATAGTATCCATTTAATAATTAAATAGGTGTATGGATTAGAAACTTTCCATACTATAAAAAATAACAATTTGAAATGCCATGCATAGCCATAAAATAAGAATTGAAAAATTGTTCATTAGTCTTATGCCGTATGAATCGTCTTCTTCTTTGCAACATCTACAATCACAAGAAAATGCTTTAAGAAGCGATGCGCACCAAGATTTTGGAGTGTATCTACACATTTTGCACCCAAGTGTACAACAGCAGAGAGGACATGGCATATCGCACATACAGCAGCATTCTTTTGGTTGTATCCTGCAAATATAGTTCTTGTTTCGGCAACAACAGCAGCGCCAACACAGATTGCAACACCCGTCCTCCCCTGCAATTGTGTCAAAACTCGTCGCAAACCGAAGTGTCATCGCTATGCATGCGCTGATAGAGGCCAACAATGCATAGAGGTGCACATGAGGCTTTAGCTTTTTACAATCACACATGAAGAAATAAATAGTAAATAGTATGTTTTGCGGAAGTTCTTCGAAAAACATAACAAAACATATTTCACTGTGACCTTGCAAAATTTGGAAGAAATTTGGTTTTCTCTTTTTAATCATTTCCATAACAATATTTATTACTTGCAAAATTGACAGGAGTGATCCCAGGAGAGAAAATACAGCTGCCAGTGTCCAAACATCATTCGTGTTGAAACACATCGATGTATCGACTGCATATAGATCAATCTTAAATGTCTTGTTAATCACTTTAATATTCGGTTCACAATTTTGTTGGTCAGTATCACCTGATGTGCCAAGGAACTGAATTGGCCCCGAACTTGCAAGCATCCAATCATTGACTAGATCCCATATAACGAAAAAAATCACTAAAATACGAATCGAAACGAATGTGCCTGTTGACATTTCTGTTTTCTTCTTTGAGATGTCCATGCTCGCATCGGAATCACGCCTGCTTTTATGCGGTTCCGAATAAATTGGTTCAAAGGATCTGTGCCAAGACGGAACATTGCCATAGTCTACAACACTATTTGCAACAGATCTAGGTTGTCTTGTACTTCGGTAAATATCTTCAATACTACCACTTTCAACGGCTCTCGGAATTTCCCAATTTCTTGACAGTCGAGTACCTGGCTCAGATAAAACTCCTCTCCCTTTGTACATATGCATACCAGGTCCACTCCTTGATTCTACAATTGCTGATCTCTGGTCATACGGTCGTCTCTCATATCTTCTACCATTGTAAGCAGAATATCCATGATTATCTAATCCTAAATTGTCCGATGCTGCGATACTTCTTCTATCATAATCAGGTCCCATGAATCGTGTTTCCTCGTTGTCGCTAAATATTGGGTTTGTTCGTCGAACTGCTGGTCCATGTAGCCCACTTTCACTTTGAACTGGCAATGGGATACCATTTGGAAGGTAGTTATTTCCCAAGGGACGTCCATTATATTGTTCCGTTCTATCTGGCAATTGATCTCGCCAAGAATTTTCATTTCCACCATATTGATATGGAGAACGATTATCTATGCGCCCTGGACCATGGTCTTCTTGCCATTGTCGCGTGAATTCTTCTCTATTCATTCTTCGTATGCAAAATGGCGATTCAAACAAGGAAGAACATACAGTTAGACTGTATTTTATCTGTAAAAGGTGTGCCACTGTAATTTACAACTGATAACACATTTGATTGTGTTTGCGTTGGTCGTTCAGATATTTCTATTACATAAACTGATAACTTTATTGAACAATTTAGTTTTGATATTTACAATCTAAAACCAGTAACTCAGAAAAACAAATATCTTATTCAATCAAGAAATCAGAAATATCCGTGATCAAATGTGAGGGTGTGTGTATTACATGACTACTTGAAGCCAATGTTCTGTTGAAAATAAAAATATAGTAATTTAATATGTTGATGGCATGTTAGTGCCTATGTGTCTGATTGGACTTATACAACTTAGATCTCAATAAAACTATACTATGTGCAGATATAGTCAAATTCAGAGACAAGGATTAAGAGCTCACATTGTAATCATAATTTAGAATCGAAAACAAACAAATAAGACACTGTTTTGAAGGACACACCCTTTGAAAAAATAATTGATTTGTATTTAAAAGACAATTCATAGTTTTTCTTTCAGTAGAATATTGGTTTTGGTTGAAAATTTCCTTATTCAGTTTTGTCTCGCCTACGACGAAAGTCGCAGAATGCGACAGATATGGATTACTTATCCGGCGGGGATGGCGGCAAGGCGAAAACTATATATCATATATAAAGCTTTTGATATGCTAGATATGCCTTATTTTGCGATGTTTCTGTCTGTCATATGATCTATTGTCCTTGACCTCATTTTCATGGTTTAGCGACTGTTTGGAAAAAATGTATAAGTTTTTGTCATGTGATATAGTCATTTATTAAGAGTAATAGGATAACTATAATTGGTAATTGAGATCTTTGCAATATCTATACATATCCGTCAAATATGGGTTCACCTGACCTCGACCTCATTTCATGGATCAGTGATCAATGTTCATTTGCCAATGTTATGTTTTCATGGCTTTGTCAATGTATCAGATACAACAAGCAGTAGGTCAACTTTATTTAGTGTATATGGAATGAATTCAGTGTACATGTTGTCTGACAGGGTTTATCTGACCTTGACCTCATTTTAATGGTTGGTTGGTTGATTCAGATTTTGTAATTAGGTCTGTTTCTCAGCAGTTGCTATGAGCAATCAGCTAACTTTGGTGTATGGTAGGATTATAAGTTTTCCATGTCTGTCTACCAGGGTTCATCTGACTTTTAACTCATTTACATGGATCATTTATAATGTTAAGTTTATGTGATACTTGTAGTTAAACCTTTATATTACAGACTTTTAACATAAATTTAATCATGATAAGTAAAGCAGTCGATACATATCAGCGTGTACACTCGTATAAAATCAAGTCCTTGCAAGTGTGTCATATTTCCACAATAAATCTTGTCACAATATGTATTTCAAGTTTTTACCAATTTTCCGATGTCTGTATCATCACTATGTGTCTATGCAGGCAGTTTCAGTTATGAAATATTACGTTCTCTCAGTGTAAACATGTGCATATAAAAACAATGAGATATTCGCACTTACGAATAAATCAACGGTACACCAACGTAAAGGAAAGGAGAATTAGTAATAGCGGGAAAGAACACCGTCTCGTTTGTATGCTGTCTCTTAAATTTCTCAGGTGGAAACAAAGTTTTGGAGACATTTTTATTTCTCATCGTCCTAACACCTATAGATACCCCTGTTCAGTCCGCTTAGTCTGTTTAAGGTTGTACTAAGTTGTATTCTTTATGCAAGTACCTAGTTACGTTACCTAGTGAAATCCGGTTGTTGATTTTGGGATTGTATGGCGGTTGTCCAGGTAGTATGAGCAGCTCCAACTATTTTTGACGATTATGAATTAAGAACCACTCTACCGATGCTTGTTGATTTTAAATTACTGTTACTGCTGAAAAAATGGAGATCAAGTTCGATATTGACGATTATCACTTTAGCCATTCAGCGAGTTACAATATTTGATTGATTGGAAAATAGCATTATATGTTGTTTTGATGCAATAACTTGAGAACCTCTCAACTAATGATTTTCGGATTTTTAAATGATGTTACTGATTACAAAATTGTTTTCAACTTTACTTTGACCATTTTTGTGTTTAAACAATTACAATAATAAACACAATAAAACCCCGGTTTGCTGTCCTATTGACAGCCAGCCAGGTTTGTGGCCCTATTGACAGCCAGCCAGGTTTGCAGTCCTATTGACAGCCAGCAAGGTTTGCAGTCCTATTGACAGCCAGCCAGGTTTGCAGTCCTATTGACAGCCAGCCAGGTTTGCTGTCCTATTGACAGCCAGCCACTTGTTATATTTTGCCATTTCTTTGACTTCTAAAATCGGCTTACAATGTAGCACAAATTGTATCAATTTTTCAAGATTCATGCTGGTATGGGTTTTACTCATTGTTGAAGGTCGTACGGTGACCTATAGTTGTTAATTTCTATGTCATTTGGTCTCTTGTGGAGAGTTGTCTCATTGACAAGCAGACTACATCTTATTTTCATATTTCTTCATATAAAGGGGTTGCAACATTAATCGTCCATTTCTGCATAATGGAGAATGCAGTACTGTAGTGTAATGGTTGTGATGGCATTCAGATCCGGGGGTCTCATATGGTATAGCCAAACACGCAACTTCCTGTAAGTTGAGTAACTGATAATATTTGTAACTTCGATAAACGCAATACCACAAAGATTTATACGTTTAACGTTTATTATCAATCATTATGTACGGTATACTATCTATACTATCTTATGAAAACTGTGACCTTGCTGAACTTTCTGGATGTTTTTACAACTAGATTATGATAAGTTGATCAGCCTGTATCGGGTCATTAACGTAGTTAAGGAAGGGATTATTCAATTTAGGGAGTCACTTTGAAAATGGCAATACAAAAATCCGTGAAATGTGCCAGAAAAAATCTCATTGTTCTGTTCCGTTTCATTATAGTCTATTTGATGTGTATCCTTCTTTGGTCATCACATGGAATAAGGTAATTAGTATTTCATGGTTCAACTAACAGCCTGGGTGACCTAGTATACTATTGATTGGTACATGATGAAGAGAATTAGCTGTAAAATATACAGAGCAACATTTCTTGTTATCCATAAATGCATTGATACCTACTTTTGGCTATGATTTGTAGACACACAACAATAGTTCAATAATCACTTAAACAATGTTTAGAACAATTTACTTATAAAATGTCATTGTAAATAAGAAGTTTTTACTAGATATCCTAGTCATACTTGTTTTTAGTAAAATCGTGTTCCTGATAAATAAGTGTTCACTCGTTCCGACCGTCTGTAAGGTTAGACGACCGGAATACATGGGCTGGAAATTTTGACTGCCACTGGAAAAGGTAGGCATTTTGAATAGGGCAGAAATTTCGCATTGCGCAACAGGCCACCTATCATGAGACCCCTCCCCTTTTCAAGGAATTGCTGTAACGTTGTTTTAAATTAACACACTGCGAGCGTGGCATTTCTTACACGCGGCATCTGATTTAATTTCCCTATCCCAACCGGACGTAGTTGCGTATTTTATTTATACATCCCTCACAGCCAAACGGACGACCCATGCCGGAAATGGTTTTATTGCCAGACGGGTGGAAATGGGGGTCTACTCCGCTGATAATTACCTACGCATTTTTAAGTTTCATTTGATATCAATTAAATTTGCTATAATATCTTTTTTTAGTTCAATAGTTACACCAGAAAGAAAGCACTACTAAGTATGGAAAGATATTATGTTAGGTAAATTCTCAAGCTCGAAAGTTAATTGAGTGCCGTTCTACACATATAAAAGAGTCGACTGTTTTACTTAAGGTTTCCATATATGATGTGCATTTGATTCAAGCTGGAACTATGGCTGTGACCATTGTTATTAAATTTATCAAGCATTGCATGCATTTTTTATATTTCTTTATCTTAAAATGTCCATGTTCAACCAGGAGTAGGATTTCAAGTTTTTGTGTTGGTTGCGTTACGTATTACAGTTTGGTATATACACAATAACATATTTCGACAATATAAAAGATTTCAGTTTGCGTCTTGTTGTTTGAGTGATCTTTCAACAATGACTTGCATTTGTAGACCAATAACGTTTTGATAATGGGGGATCATATACATTTACCATAGTGTCCTGTACAATGTAGCCCTTCTTTAAACCCGTCACTAACTTAAATGTAACTTTTTAAGTATTATAAATATAATAGCACTCTGTAGCACGTCGTTCTTATCAAAACTTTCGTTGTGCACATATCAAAGGATGGTTATTACGACGGTTTACAAAATTCCACACATCATATTTATAAGAAGCAAGTTATTATTTTTTTAATGTGCACGTCTAAATTACAATAAGTTTGTATGAATCGTAATAGGACTCAGTTTCTCTCTTCCATAGATCATCCATACTTTTCCATAACAAAGCTTTTGTTATGATCAAAAGACAGTATCCAGAGCAAAATAATGAATATATTTTATTTTTCATATTTCCGTATTCAGCTGATAAAAGAATTGGTATTTTGCAATAAACAAGTATTTGCAGTCTTGTGTTAAAGTGTGTTACACATCAATTTCTTTGTCAAACTTTCATTTTTTGTTGTTGAAACTTTGGTCGAAGCTTTATCATGACTAAGAGATAATTTCTGAAGCAAAATTTGGAAAAAAATATACATTTATTTTTCAAGTTCAGTATTTAATGAAAGGCGGACTTACATTTTTGTAGTCAACATTTACAGACGGTCTATGATTACATTTTTTTACCTTATAATTTTGTAAACCGGACAGAAGCTATAAATCTGCAAGATCAAGGAATAGCGGTTATTTTTGTTTTTGTTTTGTTAATTCTGTATTTTACTTATAAATAGACTCACTTTTTATAGTTAACTTTACAGTTTTACACTGACAGCAACAATCGCAGGCGAGACACAGGTTTCTGCAAAACCCGTTACGAATGTTTAATTTTCCATGTGCTTATGAACACGTGTTATATGTAAACATAACCTTTGAACTTTCAAGAAAGCTGATAGAAACGTAACTTCCATTGGTTAATCGACCGCTATTTTCCCACGTGGTATGAAAAACCGATAACAATAGAAGAAATGAAAAGTGTGCCAGGATATTGTTAATATTCGTCCAATATGCCAAATTAAGGGACAAGTATTCACGCTATAACTAAGTGAAATATTTTGAATTTGAAGAACACACATGGCAGGATTTAAATTAGGAGTTATCCGGTTAGGAAAAGCGGCAGGAAAAGTAAGTGATGCTCCCAGTTCCGTTCACCGGAACATGAATGAAACATGGCGCTTTGTTGACATAGTAAACAATATTTGCTTAAGGAACACGTCGAATAAATAAAAAAAGCACAATTAATGAATTGTCAAATGCTGTCATTTACTTCATGTACAGAACTACAATAAATTGTACTGAATGCTCCATATCAATGACGCCACTTGTGACACCATCCCCCCTTTTTTCACATGCAGGTATATAAAAATAATATCTTGCACACTATTACGCTGTAAAACAGAAATGTTTCATCCTTAAAATCAAGAATTTACGTCGTTGTAGGAAGGCGTTTAGTATAAAAAGTAATTATTAGAAACAGCCTTTCAAATCTTTCAACGTGTCTTCATTATCAGATTATACGAATTATTCACATTTATAATTATTAGGACTATTTAACAGGCTGATCAAGAAACTTTAGAGAAAGGGAAGGGTTCAGTCTTGCTGCCTCTATGGTTTTTTTTTTAAAGATCACCCCAATCATACTGAATAATTAAAAAAATATATTATTTTTATTGTTTTTTAAGAACCACAGACACTTTGATCTGAAAAAAATACCTATAGTATATACCTAAGTATATATATATTAAGGTATACAGGTATTTAGATGCAATATATATATTAAGGTATACAGGTATTTTTTAAGGGACAAGTGTCTGTGGTGAGATGGTCTTGATGGGGATCCTTTATTACTATATTTCTTAATTCTATTTGTATGGTAATTTTTACACTATTCTTTATATTTTTTGTCCATTTTTCTCTATTCTTTATATATTTAGCACCCGATTATTCTCTATTCTTTATATTTTAGACATATTTTTCTCTATTCTTTATGTATTAAAAATAATATCACTGGTAGTGTTCATAAATGCTCAACATGCTCCAAGTCCAATGAAATATACATTATAAAATTTTAATACTTTCACATGTCATTGTTTCACAATCTTAAAGTTTAGATGCAATACACGTACATATACATATATACATGAACCATCTACGTCATTTGGTCTTTTGTGGAGAGTTTTCTCATTGGCAATCATACCATATCTTCTTAATTTTATAATTTAGATGCAATACATGTACATATACATGAACCTTTTACGTCATTTGGTCTTTTGTGGAGAGTTGTCTCATTGGCAATCATACCATATCTTCCTAATTTTACATGAAGAATTTATTACAGATGTGTAAAACTGATTTGATATTTTAATTTCAAATGTGTATTGATCTTTGAAAATTATAAATTATTAAAAAATTTACAGTCACACAAAGACTTTTTGGTATACTAGTCAGCTGCTGTTAAGTCAATAATTTTGTTTCTTCCCTTCAGCAATCAATTAGCAATACTAGAAATGAACATCTGTCACAGGTAAACATATGTTGGTTACACCTCTGGTTGGTGTATAACTGTCAATTACATTAATAATGTAATCATGGTAATATAAAGCCATTATGGACCAGGACATTGTTATTTACATACATACTGTTGTTAAATTGTAAATTGTTTATTTATTTGTCAGAAAGATAGATAACAGAAAAGTCATATGCAGAAATAAAATTTAAAAATTAAATTTCTAGAGATAATTATTGATGAGTGTGTTTATTTTTTGTACTTTATTTATTGAATGCCATTTACTTTTCTCTAATCTTATTTATTAAATGAAAATAAGAATCTGAAATTTTAGAATTTCTGGCCTTGTACATTCAGACTATTATTTTTATGCCCCTGCCGCGGCGTTACCCTTGTCTGTCTTTACGTACGTCCCAAAATTAGTTTCTGTTCTCTCACTTTAGTTTGTCTCAACTAAATGTTATGAAACTTGTACACAATGCTTATTACCACAAAACACAGATCAATTTCGAATTAGAGTGGTGTCACTTTTACCGTTCTGGAGTTATGTCCCTTTATATATATGGCCAAATTGCTGAATTTTTTGTTTCCATTCTCTTACTTTAGCTTGCCTCAACCAAATGTTATGAAGTTTATACACACTGCTTAATACCATTAAACACAGATCAAGTTGGACTTGGGTGGCGTCAATTTTACAGTTCTCTAGTTTAATATGTCCCTTTATAACATGATATGCAAGAGGGGGCATCATCTTTGTCCCATGGACACATTCTCCATTTATTTTATACTTAAAAAGGCATTAGACCTTTACCTCCATATGATGAATATAGTGTAATTGCCTTTGACGACTTTATAAAATGGTCCATAATCATGATAATGACAAAACAATTGATATAATTATCATGTTTCAGAAGTATCATTAACAATTGAGATTCAAACATGAAAAAAATCATGCCAGGAAAATATAAAAATTTTGACATATACATAATTTTCTTAGAATTGGATGTCTTTTGAACAAAGATTAATGATATTATGAATTACTATTGTAGGAATATTTTTATTTCTGACCTTTAACATTATCATAATCCTTTTTTCATAGTACTGTATGTACAGTCACTGATAAATAAACATTGTCTATGGTCATACTTAAAAATTAAACATCCTTATTAAATGAGAATAGAATAGGCTTATCTTGATAGGATTGCAGGTATCTTTAATAAAGATGATGTTAAAAGGAATTATTTTCACAAATGAATGAAAAATTGATATCTTGTTGAATAAACATTTTTTTATCCCTAAATGGTGCATTTTTTGCAACAACAAAAAATTAACATATTTAAAAAAATGTGGTTATATCAGGTTGCATTTAAAATAAACTTTTCTACATTTTTGGAAATTTTTAAAGACCTGATTAGTTTGTCATTATGAAAATCATGGAATTGCTTCAGATAATTTTATAAAATGGCCCATAATGACAAGACCATTGATAAAACTTCTCATGTTATACAAAATATAAAATTTCATTTGATTTCATTTAGATTCATCCCTGGAAAAAATCATACTAGAAAATATAAAAATCTCCACTATTAATGTATTCACTTTTCTTTTATTATTAGATTATGTTTACTTAAATTTTGAGTCTTGAATAATTAATAAATTAAATATGTAGTATCTACATATTATAAGACCCCCTACAGATCCATAGAGGGTTAGCAAAATCCATAGGGGGTAAGGCCAAAGGCCAAATCTCCAATGGATTTTACTAACCCTCAATGAATCCATAGGGGTCAGTAGTGAACCGTATAACGATTTTATCGCACACAGGACTTTTCCTGCCAAGTTTTGTAAAAAAAATAAACAGTAAAATACAATAACAATAATAGATGACGTCACCATTAATAGTAGACGTTACGTCATGAACACCATATGAAATCTACTAACCCCATACGAATCAATAGGGAGTCACCACGTGACGGTGTTAAACCAATCATAATGTCACTAATTTACCCGAAGTGCGATTGTACATTATGTACATATGATGTCTTGTCTGTATGTCCCATCTTATTATGGGAGAGGACCTATTTTTTTCAAATTGAAATTTACTTGAATTAAGGTAATAATTCTCTAATTAATTTGTAGGAAGATCTTAATGCCTGACCTTTAATCTTATCATAGTTATTACCATAATCCTCTTTTCATTGTTTGGACAGTCATTGATAAATAGATATTGTCTATGATCTAAGCTTTGATATGGACAATCATTGATAAATAGACATTGTCTGTGATCAAACTAAGCTTTGATATGCATCCTCATTAAAATTTAGAAAAGCTTACTAGATAATCCTAGATAAGATTGCAAGTGACATTAATGTTGATGAGGACTGTAAAGGGGAATATTTGCAGGAAATAATATAAAACTGATTTTACAATGAATGAAAAATAACTTCATCTCTTTAATGGTGAATTTTGCATGCATTTAAATGCACTAATACAAAACAAAGAAAATAATGACATTTTTCATACAAAAAATATATGACATAAAAAGTGTAATCATGTTGCATGAAAAAAAACCTTTATATGTCTTTCATCATACTTTGATCATTTTCAAGACATCCTTTATCTCCCAGTATGATCTTCATGTAATTGCTTCTGATGACTTTATAAAATGCTCCATTATGTCAAATAAAATTGATATAATTAGTCATTTAGTTTTTGTTCTTATACCAAATTAAAAGATTAGAACCATTGACAATTGATAATAATGATTGAGATTCATTCCTGAAAAAATTCGACTAGCTAGATATCAAAGTTGAGACATTTTTTCCTCCATTTGAAGTTTTCAAAAAGGATATGGATATTACTGATTTTCACATTGATTTTATAGGAATATCTTTATGTCTAACCTTTAACGTTATTACTGAAAGGCATATATAATCCTCACTTGATTATTTCAACAATGAAACAATCAGTGATAAATACATGTATATATTGTATATGGTCTAACTCTGATTGAAAAGTTAGTATCTATATTAAACCAGAATAGTCTTATTCTAGATGGGATTGCAGTAGTCATTGCAATCTCTGCTGTCAAGTGAATAGCCTGTTACCTGGTTACAGCACAATCATTTTTTTTAATGCAAAATATTGTTACTTGTAGCAACATATTTTTTAAAATATATATATGTAATTTTTCTATTCTTGAAATGCTGCTTGAAGCATATACAATTATGATAAACTTTAAAGGAAGTAACATATTTTTACATTATCATGATTAACGATAGTAGAAATATATATCAACAACATGGATAAGGTTTACACAGATTAACAAGTCTCTTTGTTGATTATATATGGTGTTGTTATAGTTTTAAATATTCATTTTGTCCGTTATTTTAACAAGTATAATATATGATCAAGCAATTGTTCAAGAAAGGACAAAGAAAGTTTAAATACTTCACTTATTTGCTTTCTTTCCCTTAGTTAAAGTGAGTTTCAAATTATCGATGAAGTTAAATGATAAAGTGAAAATTATTGGTAGGAAAAATTCCTTAGTGATTTCTGAGTGACTGCCAGCAAATACAAATTTAGAAAACCAATCAAGATCCGGTCCTAGCCTGTTTTG